CATCTCACTGCTCATCGATAGCCTCACGTCGGGATGCCTTTCCGTTGCCGGTGCTGACAATGCCTGGACCTTTGACGTTCGGAGACGGCAGCAGCGTTCCATCCGACCGTACATTTGGGACCTCGAGGGACTCGAAACCGTCTCCCCCGATTATACGCCCGGGGTCGAGCACAGCTGATACATCGCCAAGGGACTTTCAGACGCCGAGCCCTCATCACTACACTGTCATTGTGGCCGACGACAATATCATAAATGTGCAGATTTTGGAAAGACGTCTTACCAAGCTGGGCCATCGTGTTTTGGTCAGCCGCGATGGTCAAGAATGCTTCAACCTGTTTGCCTCGAATCGCTCGACTGTGGACTTTGTCCTCATGGACATAAACGTAAGTCTCTTTTCTGCCCCCGTTTGGGACCAAGAACTCTGACTAACCCGCCATGTGCTCACAGATGCCAGTAGTAGACGGCTTCGCCTCTATTCGCATGATTCGAGATCACGAGTACAGCCACCCCACGCCGTCGCGCGTCGTCCAGTGTTGCGGGAGGACTCCCATCTTTGCAGTGTCGGGCATGCTCCGTCGCGGTCAAGAGCAGCAATGCAAAGAAGCTGGGTTCGACGGCTGGATGCCTAAACCGGTGGACATGAAGCGGTTGGTTCGGTGTCTAGCTGGATGGCTGAATCCAGATGCGAGGAGGACGTGTGTGTATGATGAGAAGAGGTTTGAGCTTGGTGGGTGGTTTGATGCTGATTGAAAGGCTCGCTTATGGGAGTAGTGTCTGATAAAAGATGACGGGCAACGGATGTTGTTTATGATTTTCGGAGTTGGCAATGGGCATCTTGAGGATGATGGACAACGGTCGTCTTAGCGGCATGAGTGCACAGGGTGCACGGGAGTTTCAATGACCCGATTCTGCATGTCAAATACTAGCTATACACAACTTTAGATAGAAGAAAAGACAAAAGCACTGGCTTTTCAAGTGTCGTTCGGCTTTAGATTCAGAGTATGGCGGTGCGATGCAAAAGCCAAGAGGTACCCACAAGCTAAAGATGCCCCCCTAATGAGTGCTGGAACTATGCTAGCTATCAATAACAATCACTCGGCGTGGTGGCAGAGTGGTCTAATGCGCAAGACTAGAAATCTTGTTCCTTCGGGAGCGTCTGTTCGAATCAGGCCCACGTCGCACGAATGACCATCTGATTATAATTTTCCTTTTTTCCAAGCTTTTTGTTCCTGTTCATTCATCTGCTGTTCTTTTTCCTTTTTTCCTTTTCCTCTAGCATTTCTGATTGGTATTTGGATATCATTTGTATTTCTTTTCTTTTTTACCATCTGTTCGCCTCCCTTGTACTCGTAGCAAATGCTGCCTGACGCTGCCCAACTCGTCGAAAAATAAATTGGACGCATTCACCTGCCTGGTTCCGGTCCTCCAGTCACCGCGATCCGTCGTATGTTGGAGAAATCAATCAATTCAATTCTCCAATCTCTACCTACTCATCATCATCATCTCACCGCCGGGATGGACGGATGTGGACGGTGGATGGCTACCTATTCATTCAATTCAATTCAATTGCCGATTGCTGCTTTTCATGTTCCATTAAAGTGCACTTACAAGTAAGTCTGCATGCAGCAGTGCATATCGCGCGCGACCACAAGACAATTGATATTGATTGTTACTACACAAGCTTTGCAACGTGCGTTGACGGCCTGACACTTGAACGTTTCCCTTTGCAATGGAAGTTTTTTTTTTGATATATTCGGATCTTATATATACCTACCTTGAGGGTTTGTTTGACATGTGTCTCCTCATCTGCAGACTGCAAAGATCAATCTCCATTTGGATGATATTTCCGTGTTTTTGAGTGAAGACGAAGGAAGAAAGGAAGAAAGGAAGGAAGGAAGGAAAGAAAAAAGGGATCATTCAATAATCACGTGGCAAGAGAGTAAGTCACCATCATACGCATTAGAAGCCTCGTGTGAGTAATGGAACACAACTGAAGTCGCGGTCGTCACGAAGTAAAGACTGGCATTCAATGCTTGGTTGGAATTTGAAAGTGAAGAAAAAAAGGCAAGTACGGCCGGTTACTTGAACAAACTCATGGCAACAAAGCGTTATCTTGACATTGCACGTGAATGTGAATATCCAAAAAGGTAGTGTTGATTGTGCGTGACAAGAGGTATCATGGCTAGGTAAGTACATGTGAGATATAATATATGTTGGGTGCAAAAACGCATCCAAACGAGCAGACTTCCACCCGTCATTTTTCTTCATCCATCCATCCATCCATCCATCCATCCATCCAATCTCTGCGTTTCTAGCAGTGAGGGGAAAAGAGTGTGTGATGTGAAACCCAAAAACTCCAAAGCGCCAGCGACCGATTTTCCCCTCCTTCCTCATTTCTTCTTCATGTTCTTCTTCTTCTTCTTCTTCTTCGATGCTGGGTGAACCTGGCCAACAACTCGCCAATCTCGTTGGTCGATGTCATCCGCACCAGCAGTCTGCTTTCCTACAGGAAGCAGTATGATTCCAGCTCCGCCCACCATTCCACGATGCCAAAGTCGAGTTCTGCGGTCCATTATGGTCCAATAAAGCCTTCTAAGCCTCCATAACAGCCACATACTCCACCTCCATCATATTCCCATAGCCATCCGCCGTGTTCGCATCCGGCTGGCCCGGCCAATCACCCCCAACCGCCAAGTTCAAAATGATAAACAGCGGACTCCGCGCCAGTGTCGCCCACACGCCCTCATCATTGATCTCCGCGCCCGTCAGGGTTCCAAACACCTGGCCGTCCAGCATCCAACTGATCTTCTCCGCCCGCCAATCGCCGCCGGGGTTGGTGCGATCAATCGACAAGCTCCACGTGTGCCATCCGTAATCCAGCAGCAGCGCGGTATGCGGGATGCCCACGGGCTCGTTGCATGGCCCACCCAGGGCTACGTCGCCGCCGCAGTGGACGGTGCCGTAGCCCGTCATCAGGCCGTTGACGGTCTCCATGATGTCGAGCTCGCCGCAGTGGGGCCACGGGGTGCCGTGGTGGATGGCGTCGCCGAGCATCCAGAAGGCGGGCCAAAGACCGCGCTTTTGGAAGATGGAGGCGTCGCCGAAGCGGATGGCGGCTTCGACGAGGGTGGTGCGGTTGGGCGACGGGGTGAAGGTGGCTTGGGATTCGAGACGGCCCGAGGTCCATTTGCCGGAGGCGTCCTTCCGGGGGACGAACTGGACGGTGTTGCCGCCGGAGAGTTGGACGTTTTGGTTGGAGGTGGTGTAGGCTTGGAGTTCGTTGTTGGTGTTGGTGCTGTGGGGGGTGTTTTGTTAGTTTTTGATGGACAAGAGTAAAGATGGGGAGGAAAGAGGCTTACTCAAGGGCGTAGTTCCACTTGGAGCGGCTTGGGGTAGCGCCGGCATCACCAGTGAACTCGTCGGACCAGATGACTTTGTAGCCTGGGTAGGCGGGAACGGCACCAGCCGAGGCAAGGGAGAAGAAGGCGAAGAGAGAGGCGGTGGCGGTAGCAGCGGAGAAGTACATTTTGAGTGATGTTATGTAGTTGTCGTTCTTCAAGATATGATTCGTTATGGTATTTGGAAAGTTGGTGATGACCAGAAGGTATAATGGAGTGGTTCGATGTCGTGAAGGAGTCGTAGTGGTTAAAAGTGAAAAAGATCCGATTCGATAGGCTTGCTATGAAGGAGTGTCGAAAGTATCGTGATGTTGTATTTATATGGCACAACAACGTCAAGCAGTGTAGAGAAGGTAATGGTTCACTAGGAACACTGTTGAAAGGAATGTATAATAGCAAGTTTGAAAAGGAAACAAATACCAGACCGGGCAGGTTAGAGAGAGTGGAAAAGTCCCAAAAGGGGATATGCGTAAGAAGAGAACGGCAACGAAATATCTTGAGGATGATGGAAAGGCACAGCCAGCGGTTGGGAAGGCATGAAGAGATATATAGATTCTGCAGACTGTATCGAGTTGGCCACCCCCTGGGATACTACATACCTACATACCCTGGCGATGCCTCTACATGGGGATGGACCAGAATAGGAATCCATTGGTGACTACAATAGGATATGGTTGGTACCTGATTTGGCCCGGGTGGGATGGCAGATAGCGGAGCATGAATGAATGGTGGCAGTGGGTGACAACAATAGGGTCGTCCTAAGCGAGGAGCGAGACTCAGCCATTGATTGGGGAGAGTAACAAGGATGAAACACCAAGCAACAAGGTAGCATTGGCGCAACAGGGCGCCCATGTCCAGTCGATGGCTTGGAAGTGGTGGTGGTGTTTGAGAAGTCTAGAATCTTTCCGGGGCTCGCGTGGATGTGCGATGTGCCGGGCAGTCAGGGGAGGGGGGATCACTGAGGGGTGCGGATCAAACCTGGTGTTGAGGTGGACTTCTTTTTTTTCTGGTGAGTGGAGAAGTATTGGAATCCGCTCTCGCGGCAAAAGCTGGTGGTGTGTAATGGTCTTCTCGGCAGTCACCGGTTTGCTGGTGTTTTGTAAAACAAGCGCGAGCCAAGGAGCACGTCGCCGGGGGGTTAGAATAGTGTTGCTACGCCATGTGTGGCGGCGGCGGCAACACAAGCGCCAGGTGTGTACTTGACCGATTCACCGTCACTAGGGAGGTGAGCTAACGCTAACCGCGGTGACTGAGGTGAGCGCTTCATGGTGTTTCTTTTGCGTGTTGACCTTTCTACACGTGTAGTTGCATGTGAAGAGGCAACCTACAAGTCAAGGAGGAGAAAAAGCCAGCGCTGGGCTGCGGATGGAGCGGTAGGCTCAAGGGGTCCCGTCACGCCCCACTCACCCACTAACACTAAGCAGCGCACGGACATCTGAAAATGCATCACTGAAGCTTCCTTTCCAACCAATGAAGCCCCGCCGGAGCTCCATTCCACAATCGCCCGGTACCTGCCAAGCCTCCCACCCACCACCTCACGCCATCTGAAACAGCCTAGAGCAACTCTAGCTTTCAATTTGGATTTATGCGTCCTTTTTCTTTCTTTGTTGATTGCTTCTTCCATCTTCTCAGTCGTTGATATGTCAAGGCACGAATGCATCATCATCACGACAGCAACCCAACGAAGCTCGGCAGTCATGGCAGTTGACAGCCTCTCTCTCGCCTTGCACAACACCGGCATTGCATCACAGCAGTCTCTTGAGCCCCGCCTCTTGGAACGACACACCTCACAGCCAGCCTAGCCACCCCAAACCATCGGTTCATCCATCCCCAACGATATCGCGGAAGTGATGGGTGGTGACAAACAAGGATGAACGCTGTTGCCATCACATCTTTTCAACGCTGCTGTCGAACCAATCCATAGCCCCGGATGTCTTCCGCGGTTGAGGAGCAATAACAAGCACAAGATGGTTTACTAATAGTCTAGTTTCATCAATACTCCTCCAGCATACAAGATACACGATCAATCTCAAATTACAACCTGTCCGTTTCCGATCAATATCCGATACAACCCCTCCATTTCACGAGCAGCGACTAGCAATGATCACTCTTCCCATTCCCACCATCCACACACCCATTACCACAAAAGGCCTGAAAGGTAATCTCGCCATTCGGTCCCCCGGTACAATAGAACAAGCCATTGTGAATGTGCGCATCGTTGGTCGACTGCCCACTGGCTTTCAGGGCCCCCTCGATTTGGTCGTAATAGTTGCCTGGTCCCAAGTGTCAGCTTATGTCCATTTGGTTGTGTTATCAAGTTAGGTTCCATGGATGAGAGGGCACGTATAGCAAAGCAGATTCTCTTGGCAGTTATTGAAAACATGTACGGTCGGGCAAACAGGACATACCTTTACGCAAAAGGGTTGTTCCGCAGTAAAACAGACGAGGCTTGCAGTTGTCTGCGCTCACGAGGGCACTGAAACTGGCGACCATGCCGAAGAGGACTGCGCGAAAGATGGCGACCATGGTGGCTGTTGTAGGTATATAAGAGACTTTGATGTGCGGTTTGCCAAGTAGTGAGTGATTGTGGAAGATGTACAAGATGTGAGGATGATGGTGTTCGTTGCAGTCAAGGTTGGAATTCGACGTCTATTATATACTCCTCAAGAAAGGGGGCATCGACAAACTCACAATTTCTTCGCGGCATCGAGACAAGAAGTATAGGATCTCGGTCAAGCATATTCGCAGTCATGTTCACGATCCTTCGGTCAATCGGATATTGAATGCTTCCATTTCCAATCATCTCACCGCCGGGATCTGGTTATGCTCGAGGTTGACTGTAAGCTTACATTGCAGGTATGTAACCTTCCATTTACAGTCTCTCATCGTAACACAAAGGGTTTCCCATCATGAAGATGCTGAATGGGGCAAAGTTCAATCTCATCTCACGTTCCACCTTCCAATCCTGCTGTACCACAGAACCAGCAATTGACATCCCCATTCTCTCCCATTCCGTCAATCTTCCAGGCTCAAGCCAGCACTCAGCCCAGTCTCGATACGTCCAGTCGCCACGCATTCACGACATGTTGTGTGACTTTTTGATCGAACCACACAAAATGCTTGAAATCATTGAGAAGAGCACCAAATCTATTCATTTGCAAGTACTTTGTAAAGAAACAATAGATACAAAGTGCCGTTGTGTCACGCAGATCGCGCAAAGTTGCCCGGCTGGGCTGCCAGAAAATCTTGAGCGTAGGCGTAGTCGCGGAGTTGCTTAGAGAATCTCGGAATCGCCCCCAATTCCACGCCTCGAGCCGGACCCAGTTTCGTCACGGAGGTTGGCAACATTCTGGCCGCCCTTGCCAATGATCACACCAGCTTCCTTGGAAGACACGATAGCTCTCAAAGTAAGGGTAGTCTGGGCGTATTCTTCGTCGGTTCTGGGGGCAGGCTCGCCATCGGGACCGAGGCGAGGCTCATTGTCATCGATCTTGAGGTGATCGAGGTTCTCCTCGATGCTGCCACCGTTGGCCGGGATGGAGTCTTGGCTGGCAGACATGATGTATGTCCGAGAAGGTAGGAACAGAAGATCTATGCTACCCCAACCCCAATTGCGTACGATGCTTTGCAAAAACCACCAACTCACGAGGTTGGGCAAGAACCCCACATTTTCGGCAGGCCATTAACTCGAGCTCTTCGAAGCTCTCGGGTCTGGGAATTCTAAAGATCCTGGTATCACGGTACGGCCTATGAAGGCATACCGAGATAAACCCCGTCTGCAATGGCGTCCGGCGGCTGGCTGCGGAACTCCCATAACTCCCGAGGGCGTACAGCGGAAGGCCGTGGGTGTTTGCGTTGTCCGACATCTTTAGGGGCAGATGATCGTCAGGTCGTCGAGGTTGACTCGATGATGACCGACAACAATACATCACAAAAAAGCATCGCTAGAATTGTTCTGTACCCAGAACACCACTCATCCCGTCGTCATCCCTCATAGACCTAGTCCCAACCATACCGATATCCCAGAAATATAATCCCTGGCAGAGGTACAGGACTTGATATACTCCACCCTCTTTGCATGGTCGAGAATCTGTCGGCTAGATGAACGACTGGGTGAAGTGGGTAGACCAGAGACGTTGGGGGAGAAGAAGTCCTGAGTCCAGCACCAAGTTAGATACCAAAAGCCTCTGCCGTCCCCCACCCTTGAATCCAAGGCAGAGACCAACGACAACTTCATCTCCTCCTCGTCCTCGTCCATCGGCACATCAAACCAATTTCCGTACCGAGACATGCACGCCGCGCACATTCCGCCTCCCCTGGGATGATGCGTCTCCATCGCTTCCCGAAAAAAGTGGCGTTTGGAATGCTGCTGCTGAACTTCCCAACAACCGTTATGGTGACACGATCCGAGAGACCGTGCTTGTCCATCTGCTGGGCAAGGCGCTTGACTTCATCCGTCTACTCGCTCTTGGTAGCGGGCTTATCCTGAACGACGGGCTTGCCGAAAGTATCAAGCTCGCGTCGTCGTTGATGGCGGGGAAGGCAGGGTCGGTCGGTTCTGTGCCTGGGCCTGGGTTGTCGATACCGACATCAACATCGCCATAAACACCAATAGGTCGATGGGATTGTTGTCAGGGACCACAGGGGCCACAGGGGCGGGCACAGAGGCCGGCTCGCGGGCAGAGAAAGCAGGAGGAGATGTTGGGGCAAGAGTTGGGGTACGAGCAAGGGGACCCGGAGTGTTGATGTGAGCCGGCACGGGAACAGGATCGATGGGCAGGAACAAACCCAAGGAGACGGGCCGGACTCGGATCAGGCGACGGAGTCGGGGACAGGTGGCGAGAGGAGACCTGAGCCGCGAGTGGGTAGTGGAGAACCTTTTTTGTTCCCATCTTTGTCGTCCTGGTCGGAGGATGAGTCGGGAGGCGGTGGGTGACGAGGGTCGCGAGTCGAGGATTTCGGGATCCTCTGCTGGAAAGACTTGACGGGTTCAGCAAGCAGCCTTGTAAGTCGATGTGCTACCTCTAGGCTTTGGCACCTCGACATGTTCTCGGAGCCTGAGGTTTTCGACCATGGCGTTCATCCTGCGCCTTCGCTCAGGTGATGGCATGTTTCCTTCTTTATTATGATGGTCAGCTCTGATCCAGCCACATTACACTCCATTGACCACACCAGCACACACAAAAAATATCGGCATGGACCGAAGGGGAGGACGACAGCAACAAAGATATTGGAGAGGATGACGGAAGACGATGGTCGGCCGTGTTAAGTGGGTGATGGACGATGATAATGGGCAATGATAGAAATGATGATGATGGATGATGACAAGCTGGATCATGACAAAATGGACAAATAGGGAGAACCACAACGAACAAGAAGACAACGAAGGAAACGAATGAGTTCTGTCGCCGATGCTGGCGCTGCCAAAGCGGCCGTCATGAAACTGGCAGTTGCGATAGACTCAAATAAACGGGACATACCTTCTCGAGATGGACCTGCAATTCCCGTCTCGACTTGGAGTTTGCTGAGTTCAGACTTTGGGATTGGGCCTGACTTTGACGCTTTGTGTTATATTTTGTTCGCCTTTTGGACGTGCTCGCTCTTGGTTGGAATTTCGACCTCGCTGACAGCAGGTTTGTTGCCAAAGCCCGAACTTCGTCTAATCGAAGGGATAAGGTCAGGGGCCGTGGCTTGGATTGATGTTGACGATGCAAAAGCGGCAGTCTTCAAAAGGGCAGTTGCAATAGAAATCAAATAGACGGAACATACCTTATCCAAAGAGCACCTCCTTGTCGTACTTCTTCCCCTGAGATCTCTCCAGTCTCCGAGACTTTCGGGGCCTAAGAGGAGCTTGCTCTCCTGCCATTCGCTTGTGATGATCTGAAGGTCTGAAATCATCTTTGTCCCGATGGACGACTCTCTTAGCCGGTGCCGACTGACCCTCGGGCTTGGGACGGGAATGAGCCATTTTGGATCATTCGGGTTTGAATGAGGCCGGGGACGTCCCAGTGTTGTTGGTGTTGGAAGATTGCTGACACATGGCTTGTGTAAAGATGGTGTGTAAGATAAAGGTAGGTAGCTTTGGATCTTGAAGAGATGGTAGTAAGTGCTGATTCAGGATAAGATGATGATGGTGATGATGATGGGAGGAAGAAGAAGAAAAGAGAGTCAGGATTAGGGGCAGAGAGATGGATTATATAGAAAATGGATTGTGTTTTGGCACAGGCTAGCTATGACTGATCGGAACATGCGAAGCTCACGAAATGACGAGCATATCTATTGCTCCTTACAGGATTCGAAATGTGCAGCAGTCGGTGCCTCCTGTTGCTGTGTTTTTCCATTATACTTTCCGTCTGCGGCACTCTAAGGAGATTACTCGTAACAGCACGCTGCTCTTCCCTGGTTTAGACCATGGCATGCCTTGCTAGATGCATGGAGGGGGATCGAACGTAAAGAACGACGGCATGAGGGAGACTGATGATCAAGCCCGCGGAGATAGTGGAGGCGCGACGGGCAGGATCATTGGCAATAACGCCCTTATCCAGGCCGACGGACGTATGATGGGCAGCAAGCACTGTTGTGACCACCGGAGAACAGGAGCGCGCAACTCGGCAACGAGCCATCGCCGGTCGGCGGCGTCATTGCTGCAAGACCTTTCCAATCTCAGCCACAAACACAATGTGCCAAAGTGGAAGCTTGAAAGGTCCTGCTACGACTACCACAGCCCCACTGACGAGCAGCTGGGGCAACTGCGAGCAGGTGTCCGACCGGCAGACTTAGCAAGCCCTTGGCAACCCGTGTGCTACTGCCTTTGGAGAGTATAGTCGCTCAGTTCTGCATCCGTGGCTAGGGTCCTCGTCATCGGTCGTCCGTTGTAGAAGCGAGCAGTGTCGGCTCTCAGCCCGGCGATCCGTCGAGCGTAACCCCCAGCCATACCTGGCGACCGACGAAAAGGCAGGAGGAGGCGGGGCCGCATCTCATGTCGGGCGGTAGGCGGCGGGCATACATGGCATGACGGTGTCTCCGAGAGTCGACTCATAAACGGGAAAGACCTCCTGGCCCTAAGAGCGTGGCCAAGGAAGCCAATGTTGCGCAGAGGAAGAGGGCGCGGGTGTCGAGATACGACACCGCAGGCAGGCACATTCCTGACAGCGTCCCGTGTTGCAGTCTTGCACTGGCAAAACAGAGAATTGGGAAGTCACAACCACACAAGGCCGCTCTTTCTTCATCAAAGATCACCAGAGGCGGCACGATGGAAGGTGGCAGACCGGAACGAGCACCTGAACAATGTAACTGAAGCCCAAATCAGCACAAAAACTTACACCAGCACCGCTGCAGCGTCAACACCACCTCTAACCGTGCGAAATGAAAGAAACGACTTCGGCCCCGCTGAGGCAACAATGACGACCACCAGCACCATCCCCCAAACCATGACGATCAGCAGTGTCGAGAATCCGGACTTGCTTGCTTCTGGACTGGTTTTGAGGCTGTTTCGATCAAGTATGGTAAGTCGATTGGTGTTACTAAGAATATCCATAGAATCCCGTAACAGACAAATAATTCGTCACTTTGGTAAATCTGCTTCAGAAAGCAATGGGTGGCTGGCCTTCAGTCACCAAATGCGGGGATATGACTGAAACCACACTCTCTTCTGAGGTGGCCCTTGAGGCCGAAGTGCCATGGCTCAATCTTGGAACTGTCTAAGGATCATCGTGGGATGAGAATTTTGAGCTCCCTTCTCCAAGACTGATGCGCAGATGTGGCCCATCCTGACATGGTTCGGGAACGTCCTTCGAGACTTGTCAGTCTGGCAGAAGATGTTGATTCAACTTCTTGTGATCCCACAAACAAATTCCCTTGGATCTCGGGGCGTGCTTTGTTGCATGGTCATGTCAGGAGGGGATATCGAAGACAGGGAGGACACTCTCATCTTTTGACCGGCCCGCATGCGCAGGTAGCAATCCGATTCGGTTGTGGTAAAGAACAGTACATCTCCGCCCTGATACCTCAAGACACGGAGGATTGTGTCACAAAGATTGGAAGCCCAGTGTTAATCTCTGAATCACAACCCCTCCGTCAATGACCAACACTTCTTCCGTCTCAAGAGATTCGTATGCAGAAGGACTACCCGATTGTGGAGGCTTCAACACACAAGAATGGCATCTGATCCTGCGTATAGGCATGTAATTAGCAGACATTGCTCATCAAACGGTATTTTTGTGGTCCATGACTCGGGAAAGCAACAAGTTGTGAACAGAGGACCAGTTGTCAGATCTCAGATCGAAGCTTCATTCGCGGATATTTGTTCCACGTATCAGGTAATAGAATAGGAAAACATTTGCACATCATTTCAGGTCTCTGTTTGCTGGGTCAAAAGAAGACGAGGAGGTATAGACAGTGTCGACGTACAACTTGAGCGAACAGCGCGCGATTTTGGCGTTGCCAGTCGCAGAACTTGTCCTCCCGCCAGCCTCGAGATGACCGACAAACTCGATCCATCTCTGGAAAAGATGTCCATTCCACATGGATCCATCTCTGTGTTTCTTCCAGTCGTCCAAACCCCTAACCGTTTGTGTTTTTTTTCTCTCCTTGTTGTCGGACCGTTGCATTATTTTTGCCGTTGCTCTTCCTGGTACCATCGCCAGCTAGCAGTTCCACGGTATCATCGTATCAGCCACTGTGTCGTTACCATGCTGTACTCTGAAGACGGATACTTGTGGGGATAGCACCAGGGTTGGCGGAGAAAAAAACAAAGAAAAGCAAAAAAAAAAAAAAAAAAAAAAAGAAAAAAGGGAGATGTTGAAATCGTCGCCAGGACGAAATGAATGTAAATGGTCTGCAGCAACGTGGCCGAGGAATATAACCCCAAGTTTTCGGTTCGGCGACGCGGTCGGTAGGCAGCTGGCTGGAAGTACAGAAGGAAACGATCATGGAGCATGGATAGTGTTTTCCATAACCAACGTCGTCGTCGTCATCGTAATTGTCTTTGTCCTCGTTCTCATCAACCCTTTCGACATTTTCCTCCTTCAAATTCGCTCGTTCGATACTTCATTCTTCGTGGTAGTTCTCGTAATGTGTCATCAGGATGTGAAAAATTATTGTAGGAGACGAAGTACCTACATCCCCATGGTCGATTTTCGTGCAGTGACGCAAATATTTGTTGGACTTTTTGGGGAAAATCGAGTGGAAGGGGACGGACCGTCATGCTGCGAGTGTGCCAGGACCTGTTTAGGTGCGGGGCTGCATCTTCTTTTCTTGCTGTGAGCAACTGTACAAGAACAAAAAGATCTAGGTTTTTACAATGACAGGATTCTTATAATAACTTCGGATTTTAATTGGGTTTTTTTTTTTTTTTTTTTTTTTCTTAAAGTGAAGTTGCTTTTCTCAGACCTGGAGCTTCATAGTACTGGTTCATTTACCAGCCCAGAACCCTGTATCGCACTGACAACTGTTGTAAGTCCAGCCGATGACCTCATCTTTGGGATTCCGCAGCTGTCATAAGCACATTCAACATCAAAGACTGCTTGAATCTCCTCACGAAAACAAGAAAACTTGAATGGAATCAAGCCTACAAATACCCAAAATGCATTTCGTAAACGCCGTTGGTTGCAGCCCACTTGTCTTAGTCACATATTGAAGACGAGTCGGCCGTACTCACCGGTAGACGTTCTCGAGACCACCATTTCCTCAACCAAACACAAATGTTTACAAATCTCAATACCTTTCAACCGCAGCTCAGTCTGGAGGCCTTACTTATCAAATATCAAGATCAAAACTGAGATCAAAACATTCTCCAATTCGTCATTCATCAAATTCCCAAGGTATATCAACTCCCGTCATCCTACCATCCAGAAAGCACCGCATAAAAGTTGGAAAAGACAGCCACCCATCGCGTAACAGCGCCACTAAGGAACGTATCCATCGTCATCATCAAAAGCCTTTCCTTCGTTGTCGCGATCCGGTCCTCCTGTTCATCGTCGCATTCGGTTTGTTCGTCCATGTCATGTCACTGCATAAAGCCCCAACGCGCGGCGCGGGCATGTGTTGTTCCGCTTCAGATCACCTTCACCCTTCCTTGTCCCTTCACCCTATTCCTTTTCCTTTTTTTCCCTTCTTGCAATTCCATCCCCACCCCATCCGGAATCTATCATCATAGCCCTCGATGATCGTACCGTTGTCGTCGTCGTCGGCTCAAATCAACCCACCCCCATCCCTACCCCCAGCAGTAGTAAACACCCCACCCGCCATCGGCATCGCACACATCCTCGCATCCCACTTCCACTCTCCCTTCCAATAATCCCCCCTTTCACACCCTTCGTCACAACAGCAGCAACAACAACAAGAGGAACAACGAAGGTCTCTCTAAAAAGTCTTGCTGAACCCGCAGTTGAGTCCACAGCAATTAAAGTGTTTACCGATGGTCATCCAGCCGCCTCTGAGTCCTACCGCAGCTTGTTCGTTGTCGTCGTAGTTTCCGTCCTGGACGTCGAGGGTGTTGCTGGGTGGTTGGGCGGTGTAGGTGTTTGTGGTAGGGAGGGGGAGCATGGTGTTTGGTTTCTAAGGAATGTACCCGTTAGCATGTATTCATGCATTCATGATTCAATTACGATTGCACAAGTGCGCTGTCTGCCTGTCTGTCTGTCCGCGACGATATTGCGCGCCGATGGGAGGGGTGTGGTGTGGTGTGGTGTGGTGAGGGGATGGCGATAGTAATACTGATGGTAATACTGATGATGATTTCTAAAAAGCAGTCGGAAGATGGGAGGGAGGGGATAAACTCACAGGTTGCTCAGAGATAACAGCGGCTGCGGGCGCTGTTGGGAGGTTCACCTGGGAGGCGGACTCCATTGACGAGCTGGTGGTAGCGACCATTTTGTTCTTTCTTTCTTTCTTCTTCCCTCTCTTCGTTTCTTTCTCTCTCTCGCGATGATATCAATTTGAATGTCGTTCGACGCGACGCAAGTTGATAGTGTACTAATGGCAGATCGCAGGTTGAGGTTTGTAGAAATCAATAAATTCGGTTCGATGAGAGAGCTTCCAGAGAAAGGTTTCGTAGGTGGTAGGTAGGTGGTGACGATTCAGCAATCTGGTAGTTTCGTCTCGTTTATCAAGGTGGCTGGTAAGAGGTTGGTTTGTTTGAGGTCGTAGGGAAGGTCGGGAAGTAGGTAGGTTGTAAGTAAGATCAAGGACAGCGAAAAAAGGTGACGACGGTATCGGCAGTTGAAATAAAGTTTAAGTGGAAGCCAGCAAGCTCGATGTCTGAGGACTCCCGTCCAGGGCAGCGACCAGTCCACTTCCCCGGGGAATACCTACGCTACTCCATTCAGTCACCTCAGTAAGGTATCCAAAACAGGTACCCGCGTGCTACACTACAATAAGAAGTGGCGTAGACGCGCGCTTTCGTCGTCGCAACACTTGCAAGACAACAGATGGCAAGGGCAAGGATAAGGGCAAACAGCAGCCCAGCAAGCGGAGCGGTCTGGACCTACCTACAGGTTTATCGTCATCAGTCCGGGGGATCGTCACATTCGTCACTTGCTGCTGCTGCCCTGCTGCCCTGGCCAAGGAACGAAATGGACCTCGTTGGACCCTTGGTTTCCATTCACGGATAACGAACCATTCACCAGTGGCCAGCAGAGAAGGAAGGGGACCTAGCACTGCCCCAATGCCCGCCCCTGTATAGTACCTGAAAGAAAGCTCCAGGTCCCGTCGGGTTTCTTGCGACAGCGCCAAAGTGGGGTATCTCGACCTTCTCTTCAGCTGATGTACACTAGGTCTTGGTTTTTGATCGTTTATAGGTAACCACAGCGAATCATATTCGATCTTGGAACATAGGTACCATAGGAACTGGAATCACACACCACACTCAGCAGGTGAGCGGGTTAATAAAGCAGTTCGATAAGAGAGTTTGCCCCTATATGTCTGCATAGAGGCATGTTTGCGAGTTCTTAGTGTACACCACGACCACATTTCACGAACCTCAACTTACAAACCTACTGGAGATATTGTGACGCTGTTCAATCCGTACCTCTGTCTATTCTCATATCTGTTCTGTATAAGAAAAACCTACGAATGAGGGTTTCGCTCTACCTCTTGAGACCCCAACCTCAATTGAATGAGTGGACTTTATCTCCACCCACCCATTTCCCGCCGCCATCGCCAAAAATAAAAGATCCCATGTCGGCATCTACTTACATTGTATCCCGGAGCATGCCCATGGTACCAATATATCAAAGCAAAGCAATCCCACTCTTTACCACCATAAACCCGACAATAGTGTGTGTTACAGATGATAATTCAAGAAGGGTAAGATGCGCGCGCGTGTGCGTGTGTGTGTGCTCGAGACCGTAACGCAACAATTAGCTCATAGCATGGCTAGACATTACGATACCGTCATTATAAAAGAATGTACAAGAAAAAAGAGTTGGTGGGGGAATATGGTTAAGGTAGCCAAGATAATTGGGTATAGATTCCGGGGGCCTCGTGCACAAGGTTTTGGGGGTGTTTCCTTCCGTCGCAAGTGTTTATCCTTCTAGTTGTTGGTTGGTTCATATCCGGCACCACGTTGCCAAGGACTGTCGTAAGTTAGCTGATTGAACATAGCACATAACCCAGTTCCCCATCAAACATACCTCGCTGTGTTGTGCGGTTTCTTTTCTGAAACCATCGAATGAGTCGATGCTTGCCCTCCTGGCAGACTCGAGGCCGAATCCGTCATTGGACTCGGCGTCTGGATGCTTCCGCTCGGTCTATGTCGCACAAACGGCTCATCCCTCATGAGGGACGGGTCGTTGCTCCAACGCCCAGAATGCCTGTTGGAGTGGAAATGAGGGTTGCCAGCGTTGGAATCGGCCGTTTCTGGACGGTTCAGCGGGTTGCTTGGGCTCGAAAGGGCCGAATCGTCATCCTCGAAGCTCAAGGGAGACTTGGTGTAAAGCTTGCTCTCGCCACGCGCCGTGACACCCAGAGCTTCGAGTTCCGACTGAGTGTGCAACTGCGGGTTGGACTTCATGAAGGAGGTGCGGTCGTCGTTCATGGACTGGTAGCGGGTATCCGGGTTGTTGTGGAGCAGCGTCATCGAGGTGGTGATGATAAGCATGAGAAGGAGGATCAAGCAAACGATGGCGTTGGCGATCCAGAGAACCACGCCCACCACACCGATAACCAAGGGCGGGAAGTCGAAAACGTCCGTCAAGAGGAAAAGGAGGATAGCGTTGAGGAAGTTCATGGCGCAAATGGCGATATTGAACGTGTTGGTGCTCTTGTCCATCCAAGGGCGCATGACGGAAGCAGTAATGAGCGCCGCAGCTTCAATGATCAGAAGCGCGATAGCCTGAAGGGTGCCATTGGCCTGAGCAAAGGCAATGAACATGCCCTTGATGACGATGTAGAAGAGGATAGGCACAATAAAGTAGTAACCTGAAGCGCGGAACGGCACATACAGGAAACCCCACTTGTTCAAGGCCTGAGGGTCCGAGAACAGGATGTAGGCGGGATTCCTGTGAAGGGAGATTGAGCGGCGGGCAATCCGAATAACCCTCCAAGCCGCCCAAAGAAGGGTAGCCAAGAGACCAAAGAAGAAGAAGACGGCGAGAGCCATTTCCGCAGGAGAGTCATTTTGGGTAAACTCCCACATGCACATGACCGTGACCTGAGGGAACCCAACAAGGCCAACTCTGTAAAGGATACCTAACGGAATTGTCAGTACGAAACGGAAATCAACCTTGATGATCAAGGCAACTCACCCTTGAGAACAGTAATCCAACCCGCGCGGAACTCGGAGAAGGCGTCGCCTTTGACCCAACCCAATTTGGCAAAGAGCTCTAGTCCAAGTTTGAACAAAATGACCAGGATGGCAGTGAATACCACAAAAATGTAGAAGAAAGTCAAACTGGTCATGAACAAGTTGGTTGACTCGATCTTACCGCGAAATGCAACTCGCTGGATACCATAGACAATGTAACTGCCGAAAGAGGTCTGGACGTTGGCTCGCTTGGCAATTCTGCTGCCGACATGAGCTGCGGCACGAGGCAACATGGCGGTCGCCCGCTTGAAAAGGTTGATAGCGGGATCGACGTATTCGGCCGGTAGCGCACGCTTTACCTTCTCGACCTGGACGGACACGGTCTCGAGCGAGTTGAGCACGGTGGACGCGGTACCACCAGTAGCACGCTGATACCATGTGAGGATATCCTGAATGAACTGGACTCTGATAATACCCATACTCCATACGAAATCCTGGGTCCAAGCTCGCACAGCCGGAGGAAGATGGACACCACAGAGACCAATCATGGCCTGGGCCTGGAAGTAGCCATAGAGCGACAGCGTGTTGGAAGCCACATGGGAGGCAGCGTTAGCGTATCCGAGACCAGAAAGCAGGGCAGAGGACAGGATGCCCAAGAAGACAACAGCCCAGGTGGCCCATTTGACACCAACAAGATCGACTAGACAAGGCCGAGTCAGCACTTTTCCTGCATATTATTGGGGGCAACCCCTAAACCTACCAGTCATGCCGTTGGAGACATTGGCCTCGATGCAGGCAACGGTTTCTCCCGCCAATTCTCCGTCCGTCATGTTGACATAGACCTTGACTGTGGCATCCAAGTCGGGAAAGGTGTAGGCAATTCCTGGAATTCTATCCTTAACCTCCGGGCCAAGCTCCAATCTGAAGGGATTACCCATCTTGCCAGCGTTCATGGGGCACAAACCGCCCAGGCCAACGCCGATATTGCACGGGTCAAGAACCTCGTGCATAATTTGATAGCCGTAGGCCAAGATACGGATGTCGAAAAAAACGTAGCCTTGAATGGACGAGGTGGCAAGCATGTTGATATTGACTGTTCCATTGTCGGGGAAGAAGATGACATCGAAGAGACTGGCCGTGAAGCCTGAGTTTTCCTGGCAGGCGGCGAGCGAGTTGGAATGTAGCTCCCTATCGCGAGCTAAAGAGGGGGCGACCAGTGTCGCGAGCGATGCGAGGACCGCAAGCGGTCGTGCTGACCAAAGCTTCATGTCGTTGGCGGTTTTGTGATTTTTGTCCTACTCTGCTCCGTCCAAAGTTTCCCACTTTCCCAGCTCAAAAAAATAGGGTTGATGGTCGATCAATGCCCGAATAGTCGTTTTCCTTGTTTCGTGTTTTTTTTTTCACAAATCCAACATTATCGTACTGAACCACCCAACTCTTGTGACCGGAATTCGGAGATTCGCAACGCCTAGGTAATCGAGGATGCACAAACGACAGCGGTATCGTATCAAGCGGATGTGGAAATCGTAACGTATCGGTATTCGAATCGTGTCTGGCAATTGAGAGCGACGTCCGAGATGGGATTTGTCGTCGAGAGTTGCGTAGTGGTGAGAGGACTCTCGGAGAGTGAGTGGGTTGTTGGTGGTTATGCGGAGCGACAGGAGGAGGCGAGCGAGTGACGAGATACGAGAAACTCGGACGAGTTGGCGGAGAGGCAGGAAACCAAGTTTTGTTGATAGTAGCGAGTGAAATCTGCCAACAAATCGTAGGTTTGGAAAAGGCACGGTGTTTGGTGCTGTTGACCCCTTTCGACGACGAGATACTTGTCGATGGTGTGGCTTTCCGATATTGTGTGGTGTTTCCGGCAAAGGGAGCAAGACGCGCGTTGAGATGGTGGAACGAAGCGAAGGTGCTCACGATGGATGGATGCGAATGTGGATTCCCGAAGTTGATGAAATGGAAACGACGGGGTGGGACAGCCAGACTGGATGGACACCTGCAAGGCAGGGCAGTGGACAGCGCAGTGAGCAGCAGTAGATGGATCACCGGCGTTGGAGTGGGCAGGATGGCCGATGGGCAAATGTACAAGTCAATTGGCAGTGTGGATGTGCGGTGGAGAGAACTGGGAAGCTGGATGGATGCTGCACTACACTAAGGTATGCCCGGGATCCCAGTGCGACCCGGTGCGGTCCTCCTTAGCGGTGCAGTGGGGAAAGGACAGGCCAATTTCACGCCAAGAAGTCCAGAGGAATCCATTCTTGCCCGGGAGAGAGGTTGGCGGGCTGGCCGGATGCGTGACAATCTTCAAATGTGAATGGCAGCTGAGAAATGCTGCCAAGTGCCAATATTTCTTTGAGCCAGTTTCTCACTCCACTTGGCACCCGGCCTGAGGTGGTTTTTTGCTCTATTTCATCACGGTCATTGCACAGTTCACTTGCTACCTATACGAACGAGGTTACTCGGCTTGGAATGCTTGGACATGCCCAAAAGCGTCGCACTATCGGTCACGTACACACAACACAACACATCACAACACAGCACATTGATACGGGATCCGGCAACATGGAAAATGTGGCTGTGTTGTGGTGAGCATCAAAAGCGGAAAAACCCTGAAATGAAAGATATTGGCAGCTTGGCATTGGAAATCCGCAAGTGGATGAGATCACTCTGTGGGTTCAGGGCCTCTGTGGATCCCGACAATCCAGTCAATCGACGCAGCAAGACGCGGGGAGCACAGACAGATCTGCCTGAAAGGGGGAAAGCGTGCTGAGGGCGATCCCGATGACGAACTCAGGGGGGCGCCATTTCACTCCGGAAGCCCATCTGTTTGATCGCGTCGCCGCTGGACCACTTTGTTTCGTTTTCTTTTGAGATTTTAGTTCTTGCCACGAGCAGGTGCAGACAGTTGAAACAGATTTTCTCTGCGTTGCAAGCAGATCGATCGTCTGCTACGATACCTTGTCACCGGTATCGGTATTGTCAAGACAAACTCAAACCTCATCTACACTAGTGGTAGGTACTATCGCCGAACAACACTACATGTGAAGCCGGTTCTTTTCACGATACGGAAAGGATCCGGAGCCTTTTAACCGAATCCTGTATGTATGTCACGGTTGCCTACTGCGATGTGACAACCAACACGAGGTCCTGCTTACCTTACATGCTCAGCAGAAAATGTTGGAGCGTCTGCAGGTACAAAGTCCAATTGCATTGGAGACCGCCGACGGAGAACATGGAGGATTCAACCAAGAGATTGAATTTACTAGTAGTTGAACATCAAAATACCATCGAATATGCTACTCTCACATTTCTATCCTTTTTATATACCATTCATTCGCGTCTTTCCCAAAGCCGGAGCGCTGTTGCAAGATTCTATTCCCCATCCTCCTTCATCCTCCGGTCACCGTCCTTGCCACCCGCCCATCTTACACATGCACCACCGGTGGTTTTCTTAGCGTCGCGAACAGTCGCATCGGCGTTGCTGATGCAACACTGGCTGACAGGCACCAACAGCCCTATAATCCACCCCACCCCCACTATTCACCACTTCCATCCGTTCCGGGCATCTCATTCATCATGATCCATCACATTCGTCCTCCCCTTCGTCTATCCCATTGATACCCTTATCTTAAACGTCTCCTGCCCTTCATATCCCGGCGCGATGACTGGAATCTACCCTTCTCAAAGTTTCCAGGTTGGTCTGGGTATTCCATCAAAGGCGCAGCTCCCACCCACGGGCAGCCCGCCCGCCCGCCCGCCGCAGCCAGCTTACCCGTGTAAGCCGTGCTACCTCGGAAGGCAGAGAGACAGATGGGCCAAGCATCCCGTCAGCGTGACAGCTGCGTGTCTCATCGGTGTGTGTCGCACTCCGTTCTTCGCAAATCGCAGTGATGTACTCGTGGGACTGGTGCGACGGACGGAGACGATGGCTGACACTTGATTCCGGGTTCCTCCTCTTTTTCTTCTTCCTTCTCTTGCAGAACGGTCAGGGCGCGGCATGAATGGTATGGTAACCCAGCTGGTCTCCTTCCAGTTCATTTCCGTTATTTGTGTTGTCGTCTGAAATGGATTCCTGTCCCGTCTCTTTACAGGTAGAGGTAGGGTCCCCGCTTTTGTCCACCGCAGTAGAACCCCAGGCCTCCAATGAGGCTTGGTAAAATTCGTAGTGATAGGTAGGTAGGTAGGTAGCTAGTCGACTACCTACCATCAACAGCAGTCGCATATCCGTTTGTCATCGCCATCACTTGGTCCATCCTCATCCTCAGCCCTGGCCAACAGTAGCATCCTGTCTCCTCAGAGTAGGGATCGAAGACATGATGCTGCGTCTTGAAGACGACGATGCCGCCGAGCCCATGGAACGCTGGGATTCGGTCATCATGCTCGACTGAGAGGTGGTCGCGTACTCCTCGTTAGGCGGGGTCAGGAGCCGATGGTAGGAGGGAGGATAGGGCATCCTGTGGCGGGGGGGATGGGCGTAGCGGCGACTGTTGGGAAGACTGAAATTGGCGTCGTCGCTTGCTTGGCTGTAGGTGGGTTGACTTTGGCCTTGGCTTTGACTTTGACTTTGGCTGCCCTCCTGATTTTGATCTTCTTGATGTTGCATGTTGATGTTGATATTGGTGAGATCGCGGTATAGCATATTTTTGTGTATTTATAGTGTATTGTATTGATAATTGATGTGTGTTTTGTTTACAAACTGATGTGTGGAGATGATAATAACGCCCGGGCTCGACTCTGTTCAACAAAAGGTCACGGAACTTTCAAACGCAAAAAAGCAAAATCCTTTATGCGACCGCCCCATCTCTTATACATACCAGCCGGAGTTTCATTTTGCGCGTACAGTAGGTAACAATGGGGAAAAAAAAAAGGCATGCCCAAAAGTGGCGATCCATCCATGACGCCCTCACTCCAGGCGGCGGCGGTTGGTTGTGGTACCCCTACACTAGGTACACCACCGAACTGAGACCACACCCATAATTGTGATTTGTGCCCAGACAGAGACCCATTAGGCCCCAGGCCGCCAACGCCCATCCATCCCCGGTACGGCACCAAAGCACAGCAGCTGATTTGATAGGTAGGTACGGCGGTACATACTTCTACGCTAGGCGGTATTCTAGGCGGTAGGCGGAGCGGTGAAACTCCCATTTGACGGACACACCTCGCTCAGCACGCAACTGACTCCATGGCTTTGTTACAGACATTCCGAATTCAGAACTAACACAACCAATTGTTTGATAGGGCGAGAGTACCCGAAAGGGTTGAGTGGCAAACTTGGGGGCTTGTACGGGACTCGCGGGGCTCACCACGCTATTCTACGGGATCGGGTTCATGGACGGAACAAAGAGACCCTGGGACATGTGGACATTTGGATCTGAATGGGATTCTTTTTCTTTGTAGGAAGGGTTTGTGCCGAATGAACGAACGTTCGTTATGCGCTGGCACCTCATACTCACCTGAGCTCATACTTAGCTCTACTTACCAGTCATGATCACAAGGCGGATTCAAAAGATCGGCGGTATGGGGTTGTGAGTTCAGAGACATCCATCCATTTCGGATAAACCGTTCGTTGCCAACTGCCCACTGAGCCACTGCTCTCCCATCCCAAGAGAGACAAGGCCACTTCGAGAACATTTAAATCCTGTTCATATGGTTTTCATTCTGTTTCACGATGGCCATCGTCGGGCTTCGGCTTCGGCTTGTAACAAACTGTTGGCAAACCAGACGTGCCAGACTACTGCGTTTTGTCTCGTTGTGAAGGCGATATCTGCCACGCTAAAAAATCAGAGGTCTTGAACCAGGTGATTGGTGGAGATTGCAGCCTAAAGATGTACCGGGATGATGAGACATTGATGTAGTAGTGTATGTCCATGTGGAAATGTGGAAATATGTATGTCAGGCTTCTTCTACGACTACGTAGCCAAGCCTCGTTTTCTGGTACCTGACATTAGAAGCAGTATTGCGGTAAGACTGAATGAAGATGTGATTCATGGCCTGGCTTGACTCGGTTGATCGGGTAACCAAGTGAATCATTGACAGATACGTTGAAGACAAGGTGACCCGAGGTGTGAATCAGAAATGATACCCAACCCATCCTTTACGGCCCGGCTAGACCAGGCAAGCAAGCAGGGCTGTGCCACAGGCTGCCTAGGCTGAGGTCAGTTGGATGTATGGCGTGGCTTTCATCTGGAATCATGGTGACAAGGAATGTCCAGGGTTGGGCATCGGAGAAGCACCATCGCGATTTTGAATGCTACTTCAGTTTGTTTGGGCCGTTGAGCCGAGTCAAAATCTCTGTATCGAATGTGTTGAGGAGATGGAAATCCTCGGGATTTGAGATATTGTTGTACAACTGGGGCTTGGTTAGAGAAAAAGAATTGGAAAGAAAATCAGCCAAGTGACTCAACAACAGTCACCTCTACAGAGACGAGTAGAATCTGGGAATTCGTTGGCTCGATCTCGATGTAGGGAGAGCGGGATTAGATTCGGCGATTCCATTTCCATTGTTCGCCTCAACCCCGGGCTGCTTCCATCTACTGCGTGTTGAGATGGATGCTGCCTCAGTTGATGGATTGAGCTCATACTCAGCGGGAGGATAGACATGAATCCCTTTTTGCTTTGGCTTCCATGTAACAGAGCTGTGTCCCATCCGTGTTCCCGCCAGCAGCTCTTGCCCTGGGGCCGGAGATAATGCCGAACAGCCTCTCGAAACCTGACCAGATCCCAAGTCTTGGAGCCGCACTACCGAACATGCCTGACAAAGTCGTTTTGAGAAGAGCCGTCACTTGCGGGCATTGCCCGATGCACCAGTGAGGCTCTGTCTTCTTCAAAGTGATTATCTCCTATTTCATGACATGGAACGGACGGGAAAAAGGGTGATGAACAGGCAGAAATAGGGGACCACCAACCCCTGGAAATTGCCTCTAATCTCTCCGATTACAGTGGGTTCAGCGAACACTCCACAGCGATGCAGGGCTGCCACGTGGCGGGCGGGACGGGTTGGTGGAGTCTCTTGGACAACCACAACGGAAGCTGTCAAATCGTCATTTCCTCAAACTGAAGCCAGATTTGGGGATTTTGTTGCCCATGGGATCTCTTTCAGTTTCAGCTTCGTGATGCCCCGGACTTGAGGCTCTTCAACATCTCACTCATCAACAAATTCTACAACACCCGAACGGCAACATGGCCGATCTCAAAGAGCCACCCGGACCAACGTCACCACCATCACCACCACCACCGACAGCAACAACCACCACGCGTGCCCTTCGCGGCGCCTCCCTCCTCATCCTCCTGCAAATCCTCTCCCGCGCCCTGACCTTCATCGCCAACCAAATCCTACTACGCTTCCTAACCGCCTCTTTGCTAGGCGTCTCCACCCAGCTAGAAGTATACTACCTCTCCGTCATCTTCTTCGCTCGGGAATCTCTCAGGGTAGCCATCCAGCGACAAGACACCACCACTTTATCCGCCTCTCTTCCATCCTCCTCCTCCTCCACCTCCACCTCATCTGAATCCGCCAAAGATAGGAAAGATGGCAAATCCGAAGATGGAAAAGATGCTGCAGCAGCTGCCACACAAGCAGTAATCAACCTCTCCCACCTCTCCCTTCTCCTCTCTTTACCCCTGTCCTTCCTTTTCGGCCGTGTCTACCTCTCCTCCCTCTCTCTTTCCACCCTCCAATCCACTCCCTATCTGGTACCCAGTCTGTATCTGTACGGTCTCGCCGCCATTTTAGAGTTGCTATCGGAGCCCTGCTTCGCGGTGATGCAGATCCGCTTCCAGTTCGGCGTGCGCGCGGCGGCCGAAAGCGTCGCTACCTTTTTGCGATGCGCCGTCACGTTGGGGATAGCGGTCTGGGGGGCGCGAACGGGACGGGAGATGGGGACGTTGCCGTTTGCTGTTGGGCAGTGTGTCTACGCAGTGGGGTTGTTGGCGGTTTATTTGTGGAAGGGGTGGAAACTTTCGGGAAGGGAAGGGTTCTCGCTGTGGCCGAGGCGGTTGTTATTGTCTGGTGATGAGAAGCAGCAGCGGGAGGAGCTGGAGAAGGACAAGTCAAAGGTAGGAGGAGGAAAGAAACAGGACTTGTTCGTCCTAGGATACTTCTACCGCCCCACCCTCGACCTAGCCTCCAGCTTGATGGCCCAAAGCGTCGTCAAGCACATCCTCACTCAAGGCGACACTTTTCTCGTCAGCATCTTGTCTACCCCCACGGCGCAGGGGGTCTACGCTTTGGCGAATAATTATGGTGGGTTGTTAGCCAGACTGGTATTCCAGCCGGTCGAAGAGAGCAGTAGGAGTTACTTTAGTCGATTGTTGGCCGATTCTACCACCTCCCCTTCTCCCTCGTCCCCTTCTTCCACCTCCCCCTCCTCTCCGTCCCCTTCCTCCCCGTCCTCCAAACCCTCATCAACAGCCCTCCACCAAGCCTCCACATCCCTCACCACCCTCCTAAAATCCTACCTCCTCCTCTCCCTCCCCCTTCTAGTCTTTGGCCCCCCCGCCTCTTCCCCCCTTTTGACCCTCATCGCCGGCCGCCGCTGGACCTCTTCTTCCTCCTCCGCCACCACAGTCCCAGTCGACAGCGCCCCCGCCACCCTATCCCTCTACATGTACTACATCCCCCTGCTTGCCTTGAACGGCATTCTCGAAGCTTTTGTTTCGTCCGTGGCGTCCGAAGCACAAGTCCATCAACAATCGCTGTTCATGACGGCTTTTTCGCTTGTCTTTGCGGGTACGGGGTACTTGACGCTCAAGGTGTGGGGGATGGGCGCGAGGGGCCTGGTGGTGGCGAATGCGGTGAATATGGCGTGTCGGATTGGCTGGTGTTGGGGGTTTGTTGGGCGGTGGTTTGCTGAGCGGACTGGAGCGGGGAAGACGGGAGAGAAAGGGGGGAAGGAAGAGGAGGAGGAAAGGGAGAAAAACGATGGAGAGGGGGGAAAAGAAAAAGTGAGGTTCGGAGTGTTGGACGTCTTGCCTAAGCCCGGAGCGGTGGCGGCTGCGGTTGTTGCTAGGAGTGTTGTTGGACGGGTTGTGGGAGCTGGTCAGCAGGAGGTGGTGATGGGTGCCAAAGAGGCGGTTTGGGAGTTGTTCAAGATTGCGGGAGTGGCGGTGCCTTTTGTTGTTGCTGTGTGAGTATTCCCTTTTCTTTTCCGTTTCCTTTTAGTTTCGTGAAAGTTCACATGCTTTAGTTCGATTCGATCATTTGTCAGTCATCTATTTTGAATATATATAAAGCTAACACAACGATAAACGACAGGGCCATCGCCGAAAGAGAGTTCTTGTTGAGCGGGTATCGCGCCCTTCAGGGTAAGAGACAACAACAAAAGTCCTGAGAAAACACTACATAGGGAGATGGACCAGACAGAGATCGAAAAAAAGACGCCCAATGTAATTTTTGTTCCGAAAGAATAACAGAAATGGCTCCAATGTTTACACAACATATAGCACGGTGGTGGTATCTACATCATCTTCATCCTCTCTCCTTTAATCGAACGTGATCTTGGTCGCCTTCTTGTTCGGGTCAATGTCCTTGTAGAAAGAGCCATAAGCGTCGTGGGCCTTCTTCTTGACGGTGGTACCGAACTTGAGGAGCTCCTCGGGCACGGGCTGCTTTGCGGCTCTGAGGATGTTGACAAGGCTGGAAGAGAGAGATTGTGGTTAGCATGGGGAAAAAATAAAGGCAGAGAAGAAGATGGGAAACTCACGATCCGGAGTGGGCCTTGTCGTGCTCGGTAAAGAGAGTAATGGCCTTGCCCTGCTTACCGGCACGGCCAGTACGACCGATACGGTGGACGTAGTCCTCGATGGTCAAGGGGAACTGAAAATCTGTTAGCACTTGGCCATTGACGTTAAGTAAGATGTGCACGGTTCGACTCACAGTAACGTTGATGACGAGCTTGACCTCGGGGATATCCAGACCACGGGCAGCAACATCAGTAGCGACCAAGACGGTAGTAGTACCAGACTTGAACGCCTCCAAACTGCGCGTGCGCTGATCCTGCCTCAAGTCACCGTGAATGCTAGCCACCTTGATGCCCTTACGAGACAGGAACTGCTCAACGCGAACGGCCTCCTTCTTGTAGAGGCAGAAAACCAATATCCTGTCGTCCTTCTGGCTGCCCTTCTGAGCCTCCTTGAGGAGCTCGTACAGTCTGAACTCCTTGCTGCGGGGGTCGACAACCTCAACCTTCTGCTCGATACGGCTGTTGGCCTGCAGCTCAATGTTGCCGTTACCCTCGCCATCGCCACCGGCACGTGTCCTGTGGCCGATGGTGACCTGGGCGGGGTTGATCATGTAGCTTTCGGCGAGCTTCTGGATGTCCAGGGGCCAGGTGGCCGTGAACATGAGCGTCTGGCGCTGTTCCTTGGGCGGGCAGCCGCTCAGAATGAGCTTGATGTCCTCGGAGAAACCGCGGTCGAGCATGCGGTCGGCCTCGTCGAGCACGGCAAAGCTAACGTTGGCCAGCGAGATGGAGCCCTCGGACAAAAAGTCCTTGAGACGACCGGGGGTGGCGGTGATGATGTCGACACCGTTGTTCTTGTAGAGGAGGTTGCGCTGCTCGTTCTTGTCGGAGCCACCGAAGATGCACACGGCCGACAGACCAACCAGGGAGGCGAGGCCGGAGAGGGCGGCGTGGGTCTGCATGGCGAGTTCGCGAGTGGGCGAGACGATGACGGCGCGGGGGTGGGCGGTGCGGTCGCGGCTGTTGAACTTGGGCTTGGGGCGCGAGGCCAGCGACTCGACGCAGGGAAGGGAGAAGGCCATGGTTTTTCCGGAACCGGTCTCGGCGATACCAATGACATCGCGGCCGGAGAGCGAGAAGGGCCAGGAAGCGGCCTGGATGGGGGTCGGGTTCGTGTAGGCTGCGAAGGGGTTCTTGGAGATGAGGTTGGACTGAGGGAGCTGGGAGAAGTTAATGATGGGGCGGAGGTTGCTGGAGGAAGGATCCTTGATGACAATCTCCTTCTCCTTGAGGAAGGTCTCAATCTCGGACTCGGGGAGAGCGCTGAGGGCGTCGGCCTGCTTGTAGGTGTAGGCGCCATTGGTAGAGGCGGCGGGAGTGGTGGTGCCGTTGGTGGTGGCCTTGGAAGCGCTGGTTGACTCCTCGGTCGTAGACTCGTCAGACTTCTTGGCCTTCTTCTCCTTCTTCTCCTTTTTCTCCTTCTTGTCCTTCTTTTCCTTTTTCTCCTTCTTGTCGGCTACGGGCTCGGCGGCGGCATCGGGCATGGAGACATCCTCGGTAGACTCGGTGGCTGGTGATTGGTCCTGGTCCTTCTTTTCCTTCTTGGACTTCTTATCCTTCTTCTCCTTCTTGTCTTTCTTTTCCTTCTTGTCCTTCTTCTCCTTCTTCACCTCGCCGTCGACGGGGGTCTCGTCGGTCTTGACCTTCTTGGCGAGACGGGCATCCTTCTCCTCGCCCTCGCTCCGGGAGTGCTTCTTGGTGGAAGACATGGTGGTAGAATTGGAATCGCACTCGCACAGAAAGCGATTGGCGAAAGGTGATGGATGGGCGACTGTCGGAAACACAACACTCGCTAAAGAGAGAAGGGTTCAAGGGAAGGGAAGGGTCGCAAAGGAGGCCAAAAGGGTGCCGCTCTGTTATCGCCAGACCTGCGCCGGCTGGGAAAATTTCCTTATCGATAAGCCCTGTCACTGACCCCGGCCCCGTCTGATCCCCGCGGGTCCACTTTTCCCATCGGGGTCCCTTGTGAGAGATTCAGGAACAGCAGGACATGATGCAAGAAGCATTGTTTCTTTCTCCTGGTTATCCAAGAATATGAGATACCGCCGTGCTTGCTTATGTGCATCGAGTTCAGGAGTCCTAATCGGTCAGGGTTTCTCTGGGCGTTGCGTGCTGGTAGTGTATTGAAGATTCAAAGTGGGTCTGGGTAATTTCATGGTTTATTGTCGGCCCCAATTCGTAATTACCATGCGATACAGGGGGTTAGGGTTGGATACGAACATGTCTGAGGTCCAAGATACCTCTACTGTGGTAAGCACCGAGGCACTCATTTCGAGATGCCCTTAGCACTGCGCGAACCCTTTCCCTCTGGATCATCACGAGGCCCAGGTCCAGGTATCAGTCTTTTTACCGCTCATCCCCAGCCGTCCCATCCCATTGCGAAACAAAAATGCAAACCCTCTTGTCCTTACTGCTGTTGCCCAGCTTCAAACAACAAGACTGAATTGGTGTTGAAGAAAGAGTTTTAGGGCCGGCGGACTGACAATATCTAGGTAATTACTTGATAAATGAGTAATGGTAGAGATAATGTGAAATAGACTAACGCTGAACTTACCATTATGATTGCTTGATCTTATGTACCGAGAGTGTGAGGACTTGGTGTACATCTCACGACCTTCAATAACCCTTAGCAGACACCAAAGGGTATCGAAAAAGAAGAAGTGAACAACAGTAAATTAATCCCTGATATTGGACCCTGCTTCCCTCCAACGCCGTTCCGCAAAAACTCCCACGCCAGCAAAATGCCAATCCATATGTAAAAGCCATATGTGCAAATACCTACCCATCCATCCATATCCCACCTCAAGTTCAAACCGCCAAAATACACATTATTCGTTACGGTCCCTAATCAGCCACTCAAACTCGCTTCAATCCGCCAGGCGATAGCTAACCAGCGTGTCAACCCGGTGGTTCGTCGTGCTAAACCCCCTTAGCTGTACGCGCTCGCCATTGACAATTTCCTTGGCATCGCTGTCGCCCCACTCGACTGGCACGTCGCTGTCGGCGTCGGCGTAGACCAGGACGTTGAAGGTGCAGTCGCCGCTGAGCTGGGGCAGGAAGGTGACGGAGGCGGTGATCTGGCGGAAGATGGCGGCGATCTCGGCTTGGATCTCGGCTTCGGTCTTGTCGAGTGGAGGTGCGGGAGTTGAGGCAGTGGTGGAGGCGGCTGTGTTTTCGTTGGGAGATTGATTTTGGTTGTCGTCAGTGGTAGCGGAAGCGGGTTGGGATTTGGTCTTGGATTGGGCGGCTTTGGAGAATATTTGGACCTGTAGACCACAGGTTAGCGGGAGGGTAGCGTGAGAGAGGGGAACAGGGAGATTACTGACGTCAAACTGCCACCTCTCGACGTGCTCGCCCGTGTCCTTGTCGGTGATGACGATGACCAGCTTGGAGATCTTGCCGCCCACCATCCACTTGTCGAGCTGGGACATGATCTTCTTGATGTATGCGCGGACCTGGTCATCGGCGGAGACGAGCATGTTTAGACCATACTTCTTGACGGTGGTGAAGTCTTCAGCGGGGTAGACGCCTCGTTGGAAACTGGTTGCGACGGGTTAGTCGACAGCGCTTGGAGGCCTGATCGGGAACGGCATGACTGGCATACAGAATGGTATGGATGGAGTATTGAAACTGTCAATGTTGGGCCATTGTTAGTTTGCGATTGCATTGACAGACGAGTCAGGGACCTGCGGAGAACTTACAAACTCGGCAACGAGCTTTGCGCTTCCCTTCAGCGACAGCCGGTGCACCTTGGACTTGGACTTGTCCTTTTCCTTTTCGGGAGCCTTGGAAGACATTGCGACGCTTGCTTGTTCTAGTTCGTATGTGAATTGGGGACGAGGAGTAATTGGTCCTGACAGTTGGGGCGGCCGTGACTGTGTCGAAGATTGACGGGTTGGCAATTGAAATCTGGAGTTGGTGATGACAGGAAGATGGACCGGGAATGGCTGGTGGGATTGTTTACTTTGGGGCGTTTGCTCGTTGTCAGGGAGCTCCAGAATCCAAACAGTGGACATGGCGTGGACTTTAGGTTTGGAGGGGCAGTGCCAAGGCCCAAGCTTCTACCACTACAAGAGGGTCCCGGCAGGCAACTTACAGTAGGCTAGCTCAGCTAGGTAGGTACCTAGTCTTGGTGCGGTGGTGTAGAGGTAAATGTTGTCATCAACACCAAAAGTTGCAACATCACCACCTCTCTCTTCATCAACTCTCCATATTGAGATTCAAAGTCACTTGGTCGGATGCTAAAACCTTGATACCATAAAGTCTTGCCTACTCGAACCGACATGTATCATGCGACAGGATCCCCGAGCGCGGCTTGGTTGGACAAGATCTCATGCATGAAGCTTGACCCCACTACAACTGACCACAATAGAACAAGGAAGTCATCTTTGGTGCTCGGATTTATTTGACATCACCCATCCAGCAGTTATTCAATGTTGAAACGACTCATACCATTTTGACCCAACAGTCTAGACTATACTATCCAGCCGGCTTCGCTCAGACACACTTGTAAAATTACATTATCCTCTCTAGCTATTCGTCGAGTACAAGCCCTTCCTTACTCGTTCTGCTTAGGAGGAGCGCCACCAGCAGGAATCATGTTATCCAAAGCCTCCTTGATGGGCTTCCTCGCCCTCAGCCTCTCCAACCAGGCGTGGATCAACGGGTACTTGTCCTCATCATACTCCTCCTTGGTCAACATCACACCGACAATGTGCTGCCACGGCGCAAACGCAATGTCGACGTAGCTGAACTTGTTGCCCACAAACCACGGCTCCTCGGTGCCGTACTTCTCCTTCTGCGTCTGCAAGTGGCCCTCCATCACGCTCGACACGCGGTTCAGCTCCTTGACATATCTCTCAACGGCGCTGGGCACCGGCTCCGGGTGGTATCTCTTGAACCACGCAACCTGGCCGTAGTAGGGGCCCTGGCCCGTGGTCTGGAAGTAGAGCCACTGGCGGGCAAGGTAGAAGTCGTTGGTGCCGGGGGTGAAGCTGAGCTTGAGCTCCTTGTCGTACTTCTCGGTCAGGTACTCGAGGATCGCACCGGACTCCCAGAGGGTGAGGTCCGTGTTGGGGTCCTGGATGGCGGGCAGGCGGCCGTTGGGGTTGACGTTCTTGACGAACTCGGGGCTCTTGGCCTGGGAGATTTGGATGTTGTCCAGGTCATAGGGAATGCCGAGCTCGGCAAGGACCATGATCACCTTGGGCGGGTTGGGGCCGGTGTGGCCGTAGACCTTGATGGGCTTGAGGGAAGAGGAGTCCGCCATTGTGATGAATGTGATGGTAGGTGTCTGTTTTGATGCTTTGAGATGAAGATGAGTGGAAGATGTCTACGGAAACAAATCAAGCAATGCACAACGAGGATGGTCTTTGGACTTTATACCCAATGAGTTTCGGTGTTTGAGGTACTGGATGCATCTCGATACCTGTCCTCTCTGCATAACCATACCGAGGTAGCTTCTGCAGCACTCGAAACTGCCCCTGGAAACACCGACTCGGTGATAGGAGGTACATGGTGTACTCCCTCCCAGCTTGTACCCCCCCACGCAGCGTATAAGCTTACATAATGGGCTATGGAGCCTCCTTTCGCTAGCTGACAAATGTTGAAGGTGGAAATAAGCTTTGGGCCGTTATAGCGTTGAAGATTGTGGAGAAATGGTAAGGCCGCCCCCTAGTTTAACGCGGTGTTCGGGACATCACAGACGCCGATTGTTACTTTCGGCGTTTTGAACCGACGACAACCTCGTACAATAGCTATTGAGAGGTTGGACTCTTTTCGATTCATCAGAATCTCACAGAACGACACGTGGTCATCAGACCTTGATATGTTCACCAAACACATTCCAAAGTCTTCTAGGATGTTGTCATCTCGTTACCTCTAACCTTTTGTTGCCAAGTGCCGACTAACAGCCACCGAGCGATGTCACACAAGACATTAAATGGCATTGGTCTCTAGATTTTTGGCTACATTCCATATGTTTCCTTTCTTTTTTTCTGATCCGAATTCCGTCGGGTATTCCAACTTTGACATCCCGCACTTGCTTGCCTGCTGAGCCTGCAGATCGGTTTTCTGGTTTGTGAACCACTGCCCCTCTACACAGGTGTGCCCTAAGACACTTTGTGATTATAAGCTACAAGAAATAAACGGAACTTTGTTTGGCAGGTAACATATGTTCTATTGTGAAACATTTCGAAAATCTGTCATATGGTGCTGCAAACGGTCAATTGCCTGCGACATCTTCCTTTACTCGGCCTTCCTGACCCATGAGGGAGTCCTGGAGGCATCATCCGTTCGTATATCTGTTGCCAGTGTTCTTTTCAAACTATGTTCCTTACTCTACCAGCTGCCCTCGTGCTTATCGCTTTCCCTATCTTCCTCATAAATAGAAGCATCAGTTTTGACGGTTTCTTTCGAAACGGTCTCCTCCGTCTGTCACCCTGATTCCTGACCTAGCCTCTCTTCTTGACTTCCTCTCCTTCGACAGCCTTATCGTCCAACACCTCATCAATTTCGGGCAGCCCAAAATTGAGCTTATGCTCCATGCCTGTTCTTTCCACCTCATTACTGTTGACAAGAGTCATCTGCAATGTCAATCCGGGACGTTACCCATCACCAGGGTCATCTCCAGATCAATGGTTAGCCGAATTTGTCAGGAGGTGATCGTCTGGCGGCGAAGGTAGGTTTCCGTTGTAGTTGTTCATTATCATCGTTATCGTCATCGTCATCATCGTCGTCGTGCTCTTCAGTATCTTCATCGTCCTCACTGTCCTCCTCACTGTCCTCCTCCTCTTCATCTTCATCATCTGTATCATCTCCCCCATAAGTAATCGTCTCCCCAACCCATTCGTTCCAACTCATCCAATTCTCCAACTTCTCGATGCTCTTGTGTACATCCCTCTCCAGCTTCTCGACCCTCTCATTCATGTCGTTCTCCAACGTCTCGACTCTCCTGTTCATATCGCCGTTATACATCTCCAACCTTTTGTTTATGTCCTCCTCATACCTCTTGAACTGTTGCTCCAGAATCACAACATTGACTTGCAAGTCCTTTCGAAGGTTGACTTTTGCCTCATTGTCAGGCAATTCTTCGTGTTCAATCACGTCTCGCTCCACCTCTTCTTGATTCACACCAACCTCATCCCCCTCAATGCTCTTCATCACCATTCCCGATCCCGATCCCGATCCAGACCCAGGTCCAGATCCAGATTCAGGACTAACAGTCCTAACCCTCTTCACCTCTCTCTTGTCCATGTGGGTTTTCTTCTTGTTCCCTTGCTGTTGTTGTTGATGACTCGTACTGCCTCCTCCTCCTCCTCCTCCTCCTCCTCCTCCTCCCCCACCTCCAGTGGCAACTTCAGCCATATCCTCTTCCTCCAAACTGTTTCTACTGCCCTCTTCTGACTGCAGCTGCGGCAAGATCCTCGCTACTGCATCGAGTGTAGCTTCCGACACGTCTATAGGAGGAGAAGAACTGTTCGAACTCCTTCTACTTCTTGTAGTCGAAGGATCTTCTGTTTCACTGGAATCTTTTCGTTTCCGTTTTTTGTCGTCATCGCCTTCTTCATCTCCACCTTCTTCCCCATCCTTTTCCATCGACTCTCGCACCCTCGTCAAACCCGCCTTCTGATCAACTTTAGACCACGCCTTACTTAGGGCAGTATAGCTCGTAACTAACTTGTCGATGACAATGTCGACCGCATCGAGCTCTCTTCTCAACTCTTTGATTTTGGACCGAGAAGAGCGAAGGGTGGACTCAATGTCGAGCTGGTCGTCTGCCATGTCGCTTGAGAGCTGGGAGCGAAGGGCGGAAAGGTCGGAGTCGGGGTCTGTTTCCATGATTCTTGTTGGAATGGTGAATACGTGCTGGTTGTGTGAATTATCGGAGTAGTAGTAGAGTGACTTGTGCTGAAGAAGGACTGGGCAGAGAAGTGCCTTATATCGTTGACGAACGAGACACCGGGATGAGCTAGTAGCCGATGGAGACTTCGATCAAACTAAAGAAGAAATAGTAACTACAATGGTTTCAAAAGCACATAACAATCTCAGTCGTGTGGGTGCATTGTATGTTGTCATTATACCATATGCATAAGTCGTCGTGATGAACATACAAATGGGGACAATGAGGTTGCGGCATAACAGGATGAAAGATTGAGAAAGGAGAACGAGCTTGCTTTTCTCTGTTATGACAAGGCAACCAACAACAAACCAGCCCAAAAAAGTGGTTGTGGTGTTGAACAAACGACAACAACGACAACAAGAATGAAGAACTACCCACCAAAATCAATCCAAAACTCCGAGACTCCGCTAATGGATGATATGATAACCCCTTCAAGAACCCCCGCCATGAGAAACAAGAGACAACAAACCCCACGACGCATGCATGGCCGACCTTTTCAAGGTTTGCGGCTCTTTGTGCAAAATCCACTTTTAGCTTTCTTCAACATACACGCCCCATTATGATCCTCCCAAGCTGGCATGTCAGTAGATGACCAATTTAGGCGGCCTGGGCAGTCTCGAACTTGGCGCCGGTGCCAGCGAGGTTGGTGGGCATGGCGTGGGGGTTCTTGGTGCGGTAGTCCTTGATGGCGGCCTTGATGGCATCCTCGGCAAGCATGCTGCAGTGCAACTTGACAGGGGGGAGGCACTGTGGGTGTTCGGTGACACGGTTAGTTCATAGTGCACGGGAGGCATAGGAGCATGGTACAGAGAACAGGTCTAGACTTACGAGTTCCTTGGCAATCTCGGTGTTCTTAACCTTGGAGGCTTGCTCGAGGGTCATGCCGCGGACGAGCTCGGTGACGTAGCTGGAAGAGGCACTGGAGGGAATTAGTAAGCTGAGCTTAGAACGTTGTGGTGACACTGAAGCCTTGGGAAGCCAATGGTCGAGCTGTTGTCTTTTTGTGGAATCGTAGGTAGTGGATCTGAGTAGCTCTTGATATCGCTCTCCATTTGTCGAAGGTGTTGAAAAAATATATATATATATCGCTTATTCGTACGGACATCCAGGCAGCGCTGAAACCTGGGGTGTAACGGCTTGGAGGTTTCAACTTTCCGATGTCGCATCTCTCTGCTTATCCTCCCTGCTTATGCTGAACCGAAGTGTCGTGGTTGCAATTATATATCGATGAAACTATTTTGTGGTCGCTCGCGTTCCATTGGGTCGTTGCGTGGTATCGGTTTCGTATTGCCGGTGGCTTCGGACACTTTTTCTTGGTTCCCATGGCTTCCCGAGGCATCCGTGTCTATCAGTGAAAAGAGACAGTACTCACATGGCAGAGCCGCAGCCGAAGGTCTTGAACTTGACGTCGCTGATGACTCCAGTCTCGGGGTCGACCTTGATGTGAAGACGCATGACATCACCGCAGGCGGGGGCGCCGACGAGGCCTTCGCCGACCGACTGGTCCTTCTTGTCGAGGGTACCGACGTTGCGAGGGCGCGAGTAGTCTGATATCGAGACATGTTAGCATCTGTATATGTTTGCCGATACGCCATATCCAAGGTGGAATAGGGCGCGAATGCGTGGCCGCGATGGGAATACTCACGGTCAAGGACCTTCTCGTGGTAGGACCTCTTGGCGACGACGGCAACGGCGGGCGCAATCTGGCGCGCAGCCGGCATGACGGTAGGGCGGACGGCGTTGGCGAGAACGCGGCCGGAAACAGCGCGAACAGATCTGGAAAACATGGTTGCGGATGTGGTGATTGTGATGTTTTGTTTTGTCTTGATTTGTTTGGTTGTTTCTGTAGGATAGGTATCGGAGATGCAAGAGACGAGTTCTGGTGATGAGTGGATGGCAAAAAGTCAAAGTGGCCGAGATAAAGAGGTTGGCGGCGGACGGGACTTGGGGTTAAAAGTTGCTGGAATTTGCGGGCTTGCGGCACTTGGTCGCCAAAAGTCGATGATGACCCAAGGGGGCGACTTGCTGCACTCGGGACTGGGATAGGTACGAAAAAGAGGGGTTGGTCAGAGCTTTCTCTAACAAAAGCGGGGCAAACACAAGAGCTAAATAAGCCAGGCTTCTGTTAGGCCAGGGACAAGACGCGCTCACTGTTACATACTAGGTACTGACATGGGGGCGTCATCCCCGACGTCGGCTTGGTCGGTTGGACAAGAGAAGGCCAAGACAGTCCTGAGCTCCACTTGGCGCGGAGATAAGATGATCAGATTACGGAACACCGAATGTATGTCTCGCGACTTGGTCGCCGTTGACTTGGAATTCTGGACGATCACTTCCCTTGGGCTTCTTTTTTCCACCCGATGACAGATGAAAATACTAATCACGGGCTTCTACACTTTAATGGTACATAGTCAGGTCCTTGTTCTCTTTTCTTACCTCGTCGAATGGGCATTTCTGTCGCCGTCAAATGTAGCAAAGGTCTGCCTCTTGATTGCAAACTGAAAAAGGACACTTTCTTAACAAACCCTATCTGCCTTGTCACTGTGTAACGTGCTACAATGTTAAGAGCTGCATAACAGACCGTCTACCACCACCAATACCTAAGCAAGCGCCAATCCCTGCTCAGTTGTCCCCAGACTGCAGCACATCATCCCTGTCCGCTGTCACAATCCATGAAACGGCAGCGGGGTTCGAACAAATGGAAGGCGGCAGGGCGAACGCCATGAAGCGCGGTTACCTGGAACATGGGGATTGGGGAGTGGTTGCTGTCCAGTGCCTGCCGCGTCAGCTATAGTTACCCCACAAGGGAACATCATACCTCAGCTCACTCACTGCCTGCAGCTACGGCAAGCTTCCATTTTCCTTGACGCTTCTTCCATCTTCTCTTCCTCTGCAATACAACTTAACTTGGCGGTAGACATCATCCAACAATTCGATGACTTTCTAGTTGTACACATCACGCAGAGAATACAGACAACATAGCTTGGTTGATTTTATTCACACATCATCGCGAATCCGCCCAACATGTCGTGCCCCCACGTCGGGTCCGCAAGTAAGTCTTGCTTATTGTTGGCATGCTTCTTGGAGCCCAGCCCAGCCAGCTTCCATCATGTGTGGCGCGCCTTTAACTCAGGACTGGACGTATTTCTGACACACCAATTTTGACAGACCTCGCGAAGCCGTCGCCTACCGACAATGTCTACCGCGAGGATTGTACCCAATGCTTCGATTCCATTGTCCGTACTCTATCCTGGCCTTTCCTCTCTTCTTCTAGCTGCATCTACCATGTCCAGCCTAGCAACTAACCACCTCTCTGTATATAGGACGACCCAGCTGGTCTGGATGTCTGCTTAAAGTGCTTTAACGGCGGCTGCGCTGGCGACCGGAATCACGCAAAGCTCCATGCCACCTCGCGAAACCACCCGCTCGTCCTCAACATTCGCCGAACCCGCAAGATCATCGAGCGCAATGAGCCGCCTCTTAAGATGTCCAAGCTCGCCATCGCGGCCGAGACCGAAAGCGATCGCTACGATACAACACTTACAGTCAAGTGCTTGGACTGCGGAATCGGCAATTTGAGCAAGGAAGATGCCACCATTGCCCCCGTCATCGACGCCGTCATGAAGGCCAACACGTTCTCGCGCAAGGAGGAGGTCAAGGCTTGGGAACAAGAGCTCACTACCTGCGAGCACATCTTGACCATGCAGCAAGGAGAGCCTCGCAAGATCGAGTCTCAGGATCTGGGTCATTGCTCCAAGTGCGACCTGAACGAAAACCTCTGGCTGTGTTTGGAATGCGGAAACCTTGGCTGTGGCCGCGCCCAATTCGGTGGTGTCAGCGGAAACTCTCACGGTTTGGCTCACGCGACCGAGACCAAGCACGGCGTCGCTGTCAAGCTCGGTTCCATCACCCCCGAGGGAACAGCCGATGTATACTGCTACAACTGCGACGAAGAGCGCATCGATGACAACCTGGGCGCCCACTTGGCCAACTGGGGTATTATCCTTGCTGAGCGCGAAAAGACGGAGAAGAGCTTGACGGAGATGCAGATCGAGCAGAACCTGAAATGGGAGTTTTCCATGACTACTGAGGACGGCAAGGAGTTGACACCTGTTTTTGGCCCTGGCCTGACTGGCCTCAAAAACCTTGGAAACAGCTGCTACCTTGCCAGTATCCTACAGTGTCTCTACGACTTGCCCTCTTTCCAACACCGTTATTACGGCGACAAGCTTGGCCCTCTCCCCAGCGTGCCAGATCCTGCCGAGGACCTCGAAACACAGCTTCGCAAGCTTGGTGATGGCCTTCTTTCCGGACGGTACTCCAAGTCAGATACCGATGTCTTTGCTTCTGAGCACACTCCCAACGTTCCTTACCAGAAGGGCCTCCAGCCTTCCATGTTCAAGCATCTCATGGGTCGCGGCCATGAGGAGTTCTCGACCATGCGGCAGCAAGACGCCTTTGAGCTCTTGCAGCATCTGATCAAGCTCATCACTCGATCCAAGCATCCAGCAGAGCTTGGTGATCCCACCCAGCCCATGCGCTTCGTCATGGAGCAACGTCTGCAGTGCCTCAACTGCAAGAAGGTCCGCTACAGTAGCAATGAGCAGGACAGCGTCTTCATTGACGTGCCCATGGAGAAGCTCCCACCCGAGGAGGAGGGTCAAGAGCCCAAGTACAAGCCTGTTACGCTCAAGCAGTGTCTTGATAGCCTGACTGCCTCCGAGGTCGTTGAGTTGACCTGTGCGGGCTGCGGGAGCAAGGATGGGTTTACCAAGCGTCAAGCCTTCAAGACCTTCCCCGATGTCCTCGTTGTCAATGCTCGCAAGATGGCTGTTGTCAACTGGGTCCCCGTCAAGATTGATGTTCCCGTCATTGTTGATGACGAGCCCTTTAACCTTGACGAATACCTGTCCAAGGGTCAGCAGCCTGACGAGGAAGCCCTGCCCGAGGATGAGTCGGCCAAGAGCAACTCTCCTGCATTTGTGCCTAACGCAGAGGCGCTTGCCATGCTCGAGGCCATGGGATTCCCACGAGTCCGTGGTGAGAAGGCGCTGCATGCCACGGGCAACTCGGATGCCAACGCTGCCATGGAGTGGCTGTTTGCTCACATGGACGACCCCGATATTGATGTACCTTTGGACCTCAGTGCCAGCAGTGGTGGTGCGGCTTCAGGAGGTGCTGGCGCGGCTGACCCGGAGAAGTTGGCCATGCTTGAGTCGATGGGATTGTCTGGACCGAGGGCTGTGAAGGCACTGAAGGAGACCGGTGGTGATGTGGAAAGAGCCATCGAGTGGCTATTCAGTCATCCTGATGATGATGGTGCGGACGCTGTTGAAGAGGAGGCACCAGCTGGCAATGAGGGGCCGAAGAAGGAGGCGGGCAGCAGTGAGTTGCCAGCCAAGTTTCAGTTGCAGTCGATTGTGTGCCACAAGGGAACGAGTATTCACGCTGGGTAAGTTTGCTTCAACAAATCCAATTATCGAATCACGTGCTAATCATGGCAAATAGACACTATGTTGCCTTCATCCGAAAGAAGCTCAGCGAGGACGAGACCTCCTGGGTCCTTTTCAACGATGAGAAGGTGGTCAAGGTGGTGGATGTTGAGGAGATGAAGAAGACTGCTTATGTCTACTTCTTCAAGCGGGTGTAAATCATAGCAGGGCTTACATCCAGTTATTCAGTAGCGGGACGGGCGAGGAGTTGGTATCAGTTGTATCGGAGTTGAGCGGGAATAAAGAGATGTATACATGCTTACATTAACGAAGATACGAATTCAACGCATATAATATTTACCCTTGGCCTATTACCCTGCGTAATACGTATAGCACGTCGTATCGGGTCTTTAGCTCCTTCCTATCCACTGACGGAACTCCTTTTTTGTTAAAGGGTTCAACCAAGCCCCCCTGCATTGGACGTGCGTACACCACAAGTTCGGATTGACGGAGGGACGGGACGGGAACGGGAAGAACCGCAGCACGCGTCAAGCAAGTTGCACGTGCTTAAAGACCTCGTTCATTTGCTTATTTCAAGGCTCCTGTCACTTCCTTTGTCTGTCGTCGTTCTTCAACTCTTCTCAAACCCCTCACATTTTGCCCTCAACCCACAGAAGGTCGAAAATACTTGATCGCCATCTTACCAGGCACAAGCACAACTGAAACTTGGTTCCTCCAAGAAGAGCGTGGTGGTCGAGGAGTTGAAGGTCAAGGTATGGCGTCGACCGTCCTGGGACAACAAAATACCGTCATGACAACTGCCGCAGAAATTTATAATTGAACGTGGCCTTTGGTTATCATCACTCTCGGCTCGACGCGCTTCACTCACATCCGGTGAACCGGGCGGGCGGCAATGATACAAGGAACGAACCCGATCAAACACAGCCCCAATCCTCAACGGACATCAGACTTTTTGTTGAGTTTTTCATCTCCAGGCAGCAGCACCATTCGCAGGTTTTCTCAACGACTATCACATGTCAAAAGAAGTCTCGCTTGTAATGGTGTGGTTTTTGGGATCTCGAGTCTAGTCGCGGTTTGTGTGGCTCCACTAAACTTTCTGCAAAGTTCCATGGAAAGTGGATAGAAAAGCGGGTTAAAGAAGTCGGGGAAGGGCGGGCGGGCGGGCGGGCTGGGAAAAAGGTGGAGGCCCGGGCTATGGGTGCTTGTCCTTGAGGTTTTCCAGTTCTCCGCGACCCCGAGGTTGTGGACAAATTACCCTTACGTAGGTACCTAGGAGGAACTTTTGAGTTTGGTGGAAGACTGGAACTCGAGTCGAGCAGATTCGCAAGAAAGAGAGACGGGATGAGGAAGACGGCATGGGACGGATTTCAGGGGGTTGAAACGCAAAAGACAGATGAGATTCTAGATAATTCTTTTCTTTCGAGTCGGTTCTGTTGTATGGACCCTGTGGATGGACTCTATCAAGGGACTCTGCATTGACAGTTAAAGGTACACCTACAGCGGTTATATGCCAAAAGAGGCGGTCTCGGCCGAGACAAAAGATTTCAAATCAAGACAAGTTCAAAGACAACTTTAAGACAAGGAACGGACAACCGACACTGACTGATCGACTGGTTGATCCGAAACAGATAAGCCATGAAAATGAAAAGCCGTTCAGAGTTCACAAATGTCCAAACAGTGGTCCGCACAAAAAAAAAAAGGAATATTGAAAGAGAAAGTATCGGAAACTCGCGAAATGGAGGCAAACTCTGAGGATGAGCGCACGAATTACTGGAAGTAGCAGTAAGCACAAAGTTATTGTATTTGACGGAGCTTTTCGTTCTTGGCAATCAGCCCTGTTATCTCTCTTGTTAGGCCCCATGCGGAATAGTACATATCACATGTGTGAGTTGCCTGGTGCTAGCGATGTTTGTGATTGCTGGTGCTTGCAATACTGGCAATGTTGGGGCACTGGAGGCCATGGGGAGAAGTCAGAATGGAGTTTAGACAACAGCATTACCATTGCCATTGCCATTGTCATTCTCATTATCGTTAGGTAACTAAGAGCTTCCCTCCTTCTCTCTACCAGGTGTAGGTACCTGTGCGTACAGTATGGGGGCAAGAGAGGCAAATGGTTTACCTAAGTTACATAGTACGCTACAAAAACAAAACTGGTTCCTCTCGTAGAGCTTACCAGGGGTCACTGCAGTCACATCCTATTGTATGGCAACCAACCTCGTGGGGGAGTGGACTTGGTTGGGATAATTGCACCAAAAGGGTGAAGCAACAGTGGGGGAAAGAATGGATAAGAGACGGATAACGGAATTACGGAAAGAGGGAACTGAAGAGCTTGTAAGCAGGGGTCCCCGCTGCAGGGCGCACGCGAGGGTAGTAGCTTCAGGCCTGCTTGGCCTGCAAGGTCCCAACCCAAGCTGCTAGGTGCTGCACCGTCCGTACCGCAACCAACTGAACCCGATAGCTCGGGCAAATAAATGTTTGGAAGGCCCATCATCTAAAGTTCTGAAATACGTACATTATTCCACTTTTGGCCCATCACTCATCCCATCTCACATCGTCCGACTTTTACAACGTCTGGACCACCCACCTACCCACCCATTGGCACTCGAATCCAGCCTCTCTGGGAGACATTGACGGTGACAAAGTCGCACTGCCAATCGACGACAACGAGAACGATAACAACCGGTCACCCATCACTGGTCTCTCCTACATTCGCTCGGCTTGACGGGAATCCAGTGTTGTCCGACTCAGTGCCACCTGCCGCGACCTGCAACACCACCGGCCACCAACGCACGGAGCCCGCCTAGACGAATATCTGCATTGACGTCACAGGAAGCATCACATCCAGCCCCGTCCCGCCGTTGCAGCTCCTCCTCCTCCGTGCCATGAGTACAACGGCCGCCAAGGCGAGCGGCAGCTATGCCGCCGGGCCGCCCGACATTCTTCGCCCGCGCAGCCACGACCTCGGTGGTGAGGTGGCCTCGGCCAGTGACGGCGATGACCTCCTCAACGCCCTCGGCTACAAGGCCGAACTAGCGCGCACCCGCTCGACGTGGCACGTCGCCTTCATGTCCTTCGTCCTCGCCTCGATTCCTTACGGTCTGGCCACCACCCTGTACTACCCGCTGCAAAACGGCGGTCCCGTCGTTGTCATCTGGGGCTGGGTCATCATCAGTGCCATCATTCTCTGCGTTGCGGCTTCTCTTGGTGAAATCACGTCGGTTTATCCTACGGCTGGCGGTGTCTACTACCAGACTTTCATGATCGCGCCCGCCAAGTATCGGAGAGTGTCAGCCTATATTTGCGGATGGGCCTATGTCGTTGGCAATATCACGATTACCTTGGCTGTGAACTTTGGTACTGCTCTGTTTTTTGTCGCTTGTGTCAATGTCTTCCAAAATGAGGACGGCAGCGATATCTGGCAGGCGGAGACGTACCAGATCTTCCTGGTGTTTTTGGCCATCACTTTGCTGTGTAACGCCATCTCGGCGCTGGGCAACAAGATCCTGCCTCTTTTGGATGTAAGTTTCCGTCCTTCACATGGAATCGGCACTTTCGCATCTAACATCGTGTGCAGACCTTCGCCATCGTCTGGACCTTCGTCGGCCTCATTTGCATCCTCGTCACCATCCTCGTCGTAGCCAAGGAAGGCCGCCACTCCGGCGCTTACGCCTTCGGCCATTTCGAGCCCACCTCCGGCTGGCCCAAGGGTTGGGCCTTCTGCGTCGGTCTCCTGCACGCCGGCTACGCCACCTCTTCGACTGGCATGATCATCTCCATGTGCGAGGAAGTCCAGCGCCCCGCCACCCAGGTGCCCAAGGCCATGGTCATCACCATCGTCATCAACGCTATCGGCGGCCTGGTCTTCATGATTCCCCTCATGTTCGTCCTCCCCGACATTGCCATGCTGGTCGCCTTGCCGTCCGGTCAGCCCGTCCCCACCATCCTCAAGTCCGCTGTCGGCTCCTCTGTTGGAGCTATCTGCTTGCTTATTCCCCTGATGGTCTTGGGTATCCTCTGCGGCACTGCTTGCACCACCGCCGCCTCTCGCTGCACTTGGGCGTTTGCTCGCGACGGTGCCATTCCCGGAGCCAGATGGTGGAAGGAGGTGCACACCGGTTTGGATCTGCCCCTGAACGCCATGATGTTGTCCATGGTTATCCAGATCTTGCTGGGCGTCATTTACTTTGGTTCGTCGGCGGCTTTCAATGCCTTCAGTGGTGTTGGTGTCATTTGCTTGACCATTTCGTACGCGGTGCCGATTGCCGTGTCGATGATTGAGAAGCGGAAGCATGTCATTGGTGCCAAGTTCCCGTTGGGCAAGCTGGGGTGGTTTTGCAACATTATTGCTTTGGGTATGTTTTCCTCTCCGTTTCCTGAACCCCAGTTGCTCTAGGCAGTTACTAATTCGAGAAAAAACAGCCTGGTCCTTCTTCGCAGTCCCCCTCTTCTGCATGCCCGCCTACATCCCCGTTAGCGCCGGCACCGTCAACTACGCCCCTGTTGTCTTCGTCGGCTTCACCTCCGTTTCTCTGGCGTGGTACATCACCTGGGGCCACAAGAACTACGCCGGCCCGCCTACAGAGCAAGTTGGCGAGGATGTCGCGACCATGACTACAGGTGCCGCCTCGGCGATCCCTGGCGACATTAAGAAGCCGGTACCGGTTGAGGGATCCTTGGGGAAGAAGGACTGAAAGGTGGCCAGGTGCTGCTGGCTGCCGTTGCCCTCTCAACTAGGGTGGAAGAGAAAAAAAAAAGAACAGAGCGATGAACTGTTTCATGAATAAATAGATTATATGATTCTTGGATATGAAAGTGAGATGGTAATGTTAATGACTTGAATATACTTTCCGGAGAGTATTATTATGGTGCATGAGAATACAGTGGGGGGTGGTGAACGGAAAATAGATGGTGCGGCATGAGATGCTGGTGTCGGAAGCCGCTAGATAACAAAAACATCATTGAAACGTACGAACATCCAGAAATGGATGGCTAGACAGGGATGGGATGGCGAGATGGTGTGGCAGATAGGGGTAGACGTGGAAAAAGAATTGAGGAGGTAGAGCTAGAAAAAAATAGGTACATAGATACCCCATTTAGAAATGACAATGTGAATGAGCATATGGTTGAAGCTGTTTGGTTCTGGGTTCCCTCGTTAACTTGTGATCATGCCCATCGATCGCCGCAGCCCTTTGTACAAACTCCAGGTTAACTTGTGGTCTGCCATATTTCTCACAGAATTACCTCTACACACCATAGCAAAGTAATGAAATACTTGGATACGGTACCAGGCCAGAGTGAAACAAAAGAAACATGATGTAAAAGTAGATCGACCATCACCAAAACCAAGCTGTGGCTCTCGACTAGCCCGAAAGCGATAGCACCACGAAATCATGAACGTTACATGCATGTCAACGACGCCACGATGAATAACAATATATATCGACTGGATTTAAGTTTCCTTGAGCTCTCATTGCGCAGAAATTCTACAGTGTCTCAGGGGAGTGTGCGTGCGATCGCGAGTTGGAATACAAGGGTGGACGATGTTAGTGCGCTAACAGACCACCGTGGTGCTTCCATGCACTAGCGATAGTAACAGATCTCAACCGCCACTGCACCAGAAGTAGTTTCCAGGCCACAGAGTTCACGTCCGGACGAAGGGACCTGAGTTCATCACCACTCTCAATTAACTAAAGAGAGGCGAAGCTACCTAGAGATACCACCATGAAGTCCTTCAACCGAAGTATAGGCGACGGCATCTGTCTCCTTTCAGGCCATCTCAGACGTTGCTCGTCAATTAACCGCAACTGCCCCGTTGGTTGCTCGGATATCGTGCGAAATGCAATTGAGATTGATTCCATGTTGTTCGCCGGCGGTCAGTCGCTGACTCTCAGCAAGTAAGCGAGCAATGCTGTAGGTCGAAATGATTTCTTATGCTAGGAACCATGTTGTACGTGTCGTGAGCCCGGCTTGTTGGGAGAGACTGCCGTCGGTTGACAAGGACAAACGGAAGTCTATCATAAATACACATGGATGAGGGCCACTATCGCCCGTTTGCTAGATCGCTCGGGTCCAGATGAATACATAGTAGCCTGCTGGAGGCCCGTAATGTATCGCATGAGTAACTTTGAGATATTGTTCGTAAATATACGTACCGCTATGCATATACATCTATAAAAGTTTCGATTCACATAGATAGATCCAGTCGCCAGTTATGCTGTTGCTTCACATCTTGCTTCCACCATATATATATTTTTTTTCTCTCGCCAATTGACACAGCTTCACCCTAATCAACAAAGCGCAGGTCAACAAAGCGCAGGTCAACAAAACCACAATCATGTCTCTTTCGAAGCCCCGCCAAGCAAGGGCATTCGCGGGTTAAGCCATAATGATCTCCAAGTGTAAGGAAAGCCACATCCATTATCACCAGAATTCCTGCTTGCTTGCTTGCTTGCATAAAAAGCTGATACTAGTTGTTGCTAACCAACAACCCGTTTTCTTCCCCGTCTCAAGCATCTTTTCTCACCGTGTTGTTACCTTCCAAATCGGCCCCTCCAAGAAGGAGTACCGCGTCAGCAAGCCGCTCTTCGTCAATCTATCCCCCAAGTTTCATCAACGGTTTCCCCAGTGGAACGTACGGATATAACAACGCCGAGTCGGGTTGATTGGAGCAACGTCATCGACGAAGACGTTTTCAACTTGCTCGTCCAATTCGCCTACACGGGCGGATACGACCTGCCCAGGCGAAACGAGCTCTTGGGCCCGACAAACGATGCCCGCACGCGCCCATTACTGGATCTACCAGGGCAATCCACTCGTCGCGAACCCATGCCCTGCATCAACGGCTCGTCAACACGCACAGATTTGGGGCCTTTGCGATGATGTATGACATTACAACACTCGCTGAGGTTGGCTGCCGTTCAACTTCGCGCCTCTTTGGTTGATATGACGCAGCACGTGGTTCACTGTGCCGATATGGCAGAGGACAAAGTCCGTGAGGTGGTGGACGTGATTGGGTATATCTACCACCATGGAAGCCGGTTTTGGCGCAATGAGGTCAAGACGGACGCGCCTTTGCATGGGATGAGGTTGACGACAGCGTGGCTCGCGCGCAAATATCTTTGCGGTTTTGGCAATGAGCCGAGCGACGGGTGACAGCAACAAGATCGGAAGGTGCGAAACTTGAAGATGTGGACGGACTTGCTCGAGAGGGAGCCGCGAATCGCGGTTGACATTGTGTGTCATGACCCGAAATCTGTGACATGGTGAACCCCTTGAGGTATTTCACTGGACTCTGAACTGGTGTCGTCACTGTTGTTTACAGCTGGGCAGAGTTGTGGATCGATACGCACCGGAATATGGGAGATAATCTTTAGCTTGCTTACGGCTCAGTTTTCAGAGGAAGAAAGAATAAATGGCAAATATCGTGCTACGATTGCTTCCTTGAGACATCAGTACTTTATTTCTCTTCCACTTTTAACAGCATGATAAACATGAACCCTCGTTATACTCACCGAGTGAACCGCCGAAAAGTCAAAGATCAAATTCCCCCGTGTTTTCCGATTCCTCCCAAACTCCAAAACCCGTCCGTCCATGTCCCCACACAAGAACGCCCTAAAAGCCAAGCCAAACCCCAACATCATCACCACCTCACATGAAACTGTAATAAATCGTCACGGCCGTCGTATAAACCATGCAAACCACCCCCAAAACCATCATGGCCACATCCCCCACCTTGGCCCACCTCGCCGTCGCCACGCCCTTGTAGTGCAAATACGCCGGATACACGTACACCAGCGGCACACACGCCGTGCTCCCGATCAAGGCGACAAACTTGTCCAAATTACCCGTTCCCAACACTGCCACCACTGCACAAAGCACCAAAAGTCCCAGCCGGAACATGTTCTTGATCCACTTGGTCCTCTGACTCCTCTTGCCCGACCGATGCCCAAAGACTTTGCTCTCGATGATCCTCAACGCCGGGAACAGCTGCACGGGCGTGCCTACCAGGACAGCGACCGAGTAGAGGAATTGTACCGTATTGACCAGCTTGCTATCCTGCGGGAAGTTGTTGATGATTTCAATTTGCGTTTCCGTGCCAAAGGTGGCATAAGACAGGGCGCCGACGGAGGTGAAGACTAGAGTGATGATGACCATCACCACAGCCAACAACCACTCGAAGCGCTGCGGCTGGGCCATGGAGCTCTGGATCGGTAGGATCAAACCGATTCCCTCAAAGGTAAAAATGGCGGAGCCGATCATCAGGGTGTACCGCTCGGGATTGAAGAGGACTACGGACTTGTGGATCCCGTTTGCTGCTAGAGCGCGAATGTCGAATTGGTAAATGTATGATACACCAATGAGGATGCAGGCGTCTGCTAAGAGTGCGGCGGGACCGAGCTTGGAGATGTTGCGGATCCACGCGAGGGGGACGAGCAAAACTACTTGGATGGCGATGAGTGCTACGGAGGATAATGGCGCTTGGGAGCCGGGCGTGACGGCTGTTAAGAAACTGGTCAAGTTCTCGGCGACGAAGACGATGCCGGCGCAAACGAAACCGAGTTGGGAAATGGTGATGGAGGCGAGGATCAAGGTGCGCATGCGCTCGCCGGCGATGGCGGCGCCGATCTCGCCGTAGCCGCCGCCGTGGTGGTGGGTGCATTGTAGCAGCAGGTGGAAGGCGATCATGGTCACTGCTGAGACGATGACCATGGCGAGCGAGGAGAATAGGAGGCCGCCGTTGGCAAAGGCCTTGGGGAGGAACATGATGCCGGTGCCGACGAAGGCTTTGATCAGAGTGAAGAAGGTCTTGGTGGTGCCGGCCGTGTGGGGACGGGCTTTGGGGACGCGGATCGAAGGGCGCCGGTGGCGGAGGAGAGCCGTGGTTTCGCCAATGCGGGCTTCTTCCTCCTCTTCTTCCTCTTCGACGGCTTCTTCGTCTGAGTCGGCGAGGTCTTCGCCGGCGAAGCGGCCGTAGAGGTCCAGGAACTCGACAAAGTTGCGGGTGATGGGCATGCGGGCGGCTAGGAAGTCGTTACCGCCGCCGCCGCCGTGTTTCCGGTGTAAGAAGGCGCGGCGGGCGCCGCCGGGGGCGAGCTGGTCGGATACGGTCATGGGCACATCGGAGTTTTGCTCGAACTCTCGCGGGGTGTGGAAAGTGTTGGCTCGTCGGTGCAGCTGTTGTAGTTTGGCCGAGGCGTCGATCTTGAAGATGTTGCGGTGGATGTCACCTCCTTGAAGTTTGAGGGAGGAGGCGGCGCCGCCGCCCTCTACTTCATTTGGTGTTGGTGTTGTCGAGCGCGTCCGTGTAGAGGAGGACCCCTCGGCGCTGCCGGCTGAGACCGTCTTGTTGGCCTGTGAGTGTGTGGTCGCTTCGGAGCCATGTTGGGTGGTTATGCTGTTGTGTTCGGGGTCGAATTCGGCCGTGTAGCCGGCGGGAAGATGTTCGGCGACAACCTGTGCCTCGGCTTCGCGGCGGTCTTGGGAGGTCAACGAGGTGATGGATTTGTCTGACATGGTGGTTGAGTCAAGATTAAGATGTGTGCTGATGGGGTGGGATAAGACCTGCCCGCAGGTCAATCACTTGGATACCACCGAGACGGAAAGATGGAAGATGGAATGGATGGTGGGAAAAAGTCGTGAAAGGTTGAAAAAGCCGGTGTGTTTCCCCCAAAAGAGCGGGAAGTCTAATGGGGGTGTTGACCCAAATGGCATCCAACCAAAGACGGGACCGAACGGGGGTCAGTCGATCGTGGGGTGACATGTACACGGTTAATGCCCGGCGGGATGATGTCATTGGCGTTTGGATGACTTTAAGGTGTACCCCCCTTTCCATCCAAATTTCAGCCTGTCGGAGGGAAGCATCCTTCTACACAGTCAATGGGACATGAATTCCAACAGCTGCAAGATCTCGATCTGATTAATAAAGACAAGCACGGCCTCGTCGATTCATGAGCACGGCCGGTTGTTGGCGGCGGAGGTCACTGATCCCGGTTTCGGCCAGCGAATTCCAGTGAATAACAGTAACTAAGAGAGCACAGGCGCATGCAGTCTACCAGAAGTATTTCTTTGCGCGCATCTGCGTATAAAAGTACTTTAACCAGAGGTTCACTGTACTGAGAATTGTTAGTCAAAGTTGAGAATGACCACGGCCATTGTTTGACCAGTTCCTCGGCATGCACGTTTCTCCATTTGCATTCGCCATGTCCCTTCCTTCCTCTTCCCACTTCAAACATACCACCTCCAGCAACAATGCATATTTACTAACTCCACATGCCTTCACGCCCAGACCCAAAGGACGGAACAGATAAACCAGAGCCCTTTCGAGATGGATCGATCAGTGGCACCAACTAGGCCGTAACCATCGCCATATTAACACAAAGACGAGACACCAGACACTTTGACTAGCATGGGAACGCTTAGACGACAGAGGAAAGGGCAATTTTAGTTAAGAGTCAAAGAGAGAACCTGCCACACAAGGTAGAGCGAAAGTGAAATGTTAATGGGCCATTCAAACCATAGCATAGTTCATGGTTTTACCGAGTGTTTGTAAGGACATGCGGTAACGAGGTTTTTCCACTCGGGCGGGCTGGCTAAAGTCCAAGATATACCCAAACTCCAAATTGAATGAGGCTAGAATACCCTCAAGTTCCTTCTCATTAGCGGGATTCATGCTATCGAAGGCCATCTTACAAGAACTCCCATCGTCAGTGCTCGCAATGAGGCAAATAACAAATAACAAGTAACAATCTGAGGCAAGCAAATAAGGCAAATCGAGTCGTAACGGAAATAATCGAATTGAAATCGCTTTACTTAATTGCCTCATTTCAATTATACCATGGCTCGTAATATTTGAAGGGGTAGATTTTGGCTAGGAATCCAGCTCTTTACTATGTTTGGTACCTAGTACCGTATCCGCTCTTCCTCCTGTAAAAAGTTTGCTCCCGTTGGTTATTCGTTTAAAGGCGTTAGGGGGCGCGTATTGGCCTCCCTAACTCGCTCGAGCTTATTTAAAAGTGGTGATATCGATATAGTATTAAGGGGGGGTTAAGTTATTTTTATTTATATTTCTACCTATACGTACTAGGCTCCCTTATTTCTTATTACCCCCTTTATTATTCTTCTTTATTATTTTCTATTATTAGTATAACTAATAGTACTTCTACTTCTAATTCCTTTCTAACCGCCGCTGTTAATTCCCTTATTAATTTTATTGTTAGTGAAGTTAATACTTTTATTATTCTATAGAGATTTACTGCCTAAAATAATTAAATTAATATTTTTTAATATATTAAAGAATTAGTTATTAAATTGAAGGATTAAGTATATTACTCCTTTAATTCTTTATTTTAATTAGAAATATTAAGATTTAATTAAAATTGATTATTAGTATAAATATTACTATAAATAAATAAATTCCCCTACGTTAAATATAAAGGGAAAGATTTTATATTTAATAATTAATTAGATTGTGTATATTTTTATACTTCGCCTATTAAATTCTATAATATTTAATTCGTTAAAATTAAAGAGGAGGTAAAAGATAGTAGGGTTGTTATTAAAACCGTCGGGTAAGTGTAGTTTTGCGGTAAATATAATTAGATCTATATTAGTATTGCTACGAATTTTACGATTAGTTACTTTAAATAGGTCTATTAAATTAATAATTTTAATAAGATAAAGTAGTCCGTTAAATATTAAAAGATTATTTATAATGTATTTTAATAAATTATTAAAACCTATAGATCCGGGCGGGTCTCTATATTAAAGTTTATTACTAATACCTTTAAGGAATTATTATTTAATTGGATTATTAATTATAATATACCCTTTAATAACATTATTAACCCGAAGTTCCGCTAACTATTATCGTTCCTTAACCCGGAATTAATAATTATTTTATAGCCCGAAGCTGGTAATATAATTAAATTATAGGTTAATTGTAATTATATAAAAGAATCTTACTATATTAAAGAATTTATATTAATAAACCTATTTCGTAAATATATTTCTTTCGATTTCTAGATTTCTAATAATGGCTATTCCTTAATAGGACTTTATTTTTATTTTATTAATAATAATAGAATTTTATATAATCTTCCTATAGGTTTTAAATATATAAAGGGGGGGTATAGCGGTATTAATATTAGTGCGGTAAATATTGAAATTCTTAATGGGTAGGGTCTATTAGATACGGAAGAGGATTAATTTAATTACTTTTAGTATAATAATATAAATTTTAATAATATTTATATTATTTATATAGTTAATAAGATTTATTCTAACGATTACCTCCCTATTTTTAAATACCGATTTAAAGAATATTGAAATCGATTATATATACGCTACTTTAATTATATTATTAACCTTACGGCGAGAGCCTTTGTTAGGAGGCTAAGAGCTCGTACATAGAGGCACCTCAGCGGCTGCTACTCCCCTTCGTTAACGGAAGCGTAGGATTATTTATAATAACGCCTATATCGGGTCGGACTCGCAGGAAGAATAATCCGGTACCGCGCCGAAGCGCCAAACTAGTTTAAAGTTCTATAATACTCGTTAGCGGAGGAACAGAATTTATATAAGTATAAAAGAGGTTTAATAGAGTATATCTTATTATAGTCGGTAATTATTAATATATTTTTAGATTAACCCCTAATTTACCGTCCCTAACGTGTGGCTACGACTATAATTACCTTAACCTACCTTTTACCTATATTCTTAATAAATTAATAATTCTTCCTCTAGAAATTGAGCCGATACTATTAAAATATATATACGTAGCGGCCGGTCTATTTTTCGCACCACCGAAATTATTCTTCGTCCCTTTTATACTATTATTCCCGTAGTTATTATAATTGAAACGATTTAACCCCCTCCGCCTTTATTATAATAATACTAACCTATTATAGAATTTATTAAAGAAGATAATAATAAAAACTATTCTTTTATATTATTCCGGACTCTCTATTTATACCCTTAAACTTCGGAAATTAATAAATTCGTACGTAAATAGTAATTATTCGAATTTCAATTCGCCGTAATTAAATTCCTCCTTAATTACCTCCCTTTATATATATTTTAATAAGAATAATTCGTATTTATAGGCCTTATTAAATAAAATTTAATAGAAAATTACCCTCCTATCCTTACCGGGTTTGATTATTAAAATTACCTCTTCTATAATTAAATTTATATTTTTACTATATTTCCCTTTATTACCCCTTCGTCGGTGGCCGTTATTATAATTACCCTTTTATTAACCGTAGTTATATTAGCCCGTATTAAATATTATTCTAAATATAATATTACTAAATTTACTAGCGAAAATTTCTTATAATTATAGAATTACCTCTATAATATTAATATATATTTTTAGGAATACCCCTATATTTCCCTTTTGTTTATTATTAATTATATTAAAGGTTATTCTAAGAATATATAAATTAAATATATATTAGTTTTTTATAGTAAGCCTAGGTATAATACTATTTGTAATGTGCCTATATAGAGCAACCTCCGTACTTTCTTAGAGACTGAATATAATAATAATATTTAAACTATTAAACGATCCGCTCTTAATAAATTTAAATATATATAGTAAAGTACTTTAGAAATTATTTATACTTTTTATAACCGTTATTATATTGAAGAATTCAATCTATTATACAATTAATTAAAATATATTTAAATTATTACTTAAATTAACCGGTTATATCCCTTCTTTAAATAAGGCGTCTTTTCGATGGTTGGTATTAATATAATAAATAAAGTAATAGCGTATATAGAATAGTTAGAAGGTTTTAAGAGTATCGAACTATTTATATCGCATTACTAATATTAAATATCTTTAGGGTATAATTTATTATCTTTTTTATTTTTATACCCTCTTACTTCCTCTTCGAATATTCCTTTTTAATTATTTTATAGTAATAACCCCTCCTATTTTCCCCGTCGCCCCCCTATTATTTTTTAAATAAATCCTAATTTTATTTATTCCTTTTATTATTAAAAAGGTTATATATATAGCCGGTATATTTAGTTAAAACTACTAAATATTTACTACGAATATAGTATAACGGGCTATTTCGTAGCGGTATACCCGAATTAAACCTATTATAATTATAATTAAGTTGGTTATTTAATATAGAATTATTTTATCCTTATAAATACCCCCTTATATAGAACGAATATTAAACTAATTACAATTAGAATAGTAATTATAATTATTTAGAATAATACGAGTAAATTATAAATATATTTAGAAATAAAGTTATTAATAAAGATTTATAGAGATTAGTAAAATATACGAAGGTTAATACATTCGGGCGCGGAATTAAACCTAATTAATAAGTATTTATTCTTATCGAATATAAAAATTAATTTAGTATTCTATTATTTTATTAATTTCTCCCTCCGGCCTATTCCTATATATAATACAATTATTTATTTTATTAGAATATATAATTCCTATAGTACTAAATAAATAAAGTAAATTATTTTTACTATAATTAAATCCC